ATATGTGCTTATAAGCACAAACTGTGGTGATGTGTCTATAGAGCAACATACCTCAAAAACAAACGCATTTACGGCCTCATTCTTGGGCACAGAATCACGCCCTTTGCAAGGAATCTAAATCAGAAGGCAACTAATCAAGAACTCAAAAATCTAAAGTCGCAAATTTATGAAAATGTAATTCTTAAGTCAAGAATGCAGAAATATTGATTACCTACCTTAACATGCTTGATATCTTCACTCTTCCAATCATTAGTCGAATAATATCTATTTGAATTTGTAAGATCAATCAGCAGACCAAGCTGAAAACATTTCAATATATAAATTGAAATCAGTGTTCTGAGAGGCTTTATCAAAGTGTCCTTCAAATAAATTAATTAGCAGACATTAAGCCCTTATTTGGTAAGAACTAGATTTTTATTTTTATTTTTTTATGACCATGAGTGTCCAGCCAGCTTACGTACACCTCGACTAATCCCACGGAACCCTAAAATTTACAGTCGGGTTCTCACCTTAGTGACTCTGAGGGGACTCGAACTGGTGATCATTGGAGAGCAAATTCAAGGCCTGACCCTTGAGCTATCCCTCGAGGTTAGGAGAGACTAGATTTTAATCAAAGTTAAAGTCAACAATAAATTTAAACACATAGTTTATGGAACCCACAACCTTTCAACCTTATATCAACTTTTACCAAAATCTAATAAAAGATTAATTTTAATTCGCACCAAATAGAGGCTAAGATTCATACACTAGACCAGAGGTTCTACATCACTAGATACAAAGGATAATGTTACTATCTAGAGATTTGTAACGTCCAGAATTTTTACTATTAGTTGCTAGATTTAAATTTAGAACTTAAGAGCTTGTTTGGTAAAACTTAAAATCAAGATTTTAATTCTAGTCGAAGGCAACAATTAATTTTCACCACACATTCAATGGGACCCACAACTTTTCACCACATATTTCATCAACTTCCATCAAAATCTACTAAAATTCTGATTTTAATATCTGCCAAACAAGGGCTAAATACACTATTATTAAAGTCTAACGACCTTATTGTTTATTGGCCTAGTCTGATAACAAAGATTTTAAGTTCAATTCTTTTTTTCTCTCCACTCGAACAAACCAACCTACACTGCTTCCTCCGCAAATCATATTTTTCCACAAGGGATTGTGATGTCTTTCTATGGGATCGCAGGTCCTTATTGGTTACTGGCCAATAATTTAAAGACTTAATTGGAGAGTTATTTTAGAAATTAGATGAAAATATTCGTAAAATATATGTAAATATTCCAATTTATCATGATTAAAGATGATTTATTTGACGACAAGCATTATTCACTAACCACATTTCAAGCCAATGTAATTGATTTCACCAAGTAAATAAAGATAATTGATTTAACCACATGCATTATTTACATCAAGTTTCAAGTCAAGTTAATTGATTTGACCACATGATTAAACGTATTGATTTGACCATTTCAAGACAATACAATATTTATGCATTGACCATGCACATCATCTATCAATTTGCTTTCACCTTTCTATACATGGTCCAAGAATTTACACTATAAACAGGAGACAAACCCAACCCTACTCTCCCTCACTAATCACTATCTCTATCACTGTCTTCGCTTTTACTTTTCCTCGTCCTTTTCATATTAAATATAGTTGTAGACTTACACAATCACTCGTGAATAATCAACCTCACACGCAGCTCAAGTGTGTGATTACATTATGTGAGTAATCATATATATGTTATTTCATGGTTAAATTATGGTTCTTGTATTATGTATAAGAGTTGTAAAGACGGACTAAAATATAGTAGCGCTACACACGAAAATTTGGTACCATCTAATTAGGTCCAATTTTTTCCCTCCTTTTGCAAGTACGAAATTTGATGAAATTTTCCACGAAATACATATAAAAGAACAAAATTTATTCACGCTTGAGATTATATATCTCACATTATGCTCTTTTCCTTTTTCAAAAAATTAATGGTTCAAGCTGTCGATACGGAGATGAATCCGATCATGGGATATTTAAAATAATTTTCATGAAGTTATGTCAAATTTTTTTTTATTAATATTAAATTCATTTCTTTATGTCAAATGTATTTTCTTTAAAAATACACTATTATGAATAATATTGAATCTAATTATTTTTATAAAAATCCTTTTATTCATTTCAATACTTCTATTTAAGTTTAATTTAAATTTTGGTGACACAAGATTACTTATAATCATGATCCTGGAGCTTTCAACTGCTCAACCTTATTTCAAGAGGTCTAGTTCCAATCAATAAAGTCATTTCTTATAAAATTACATGTCTGGTTCACTGATTCATCTCCAAGTTTCAACGATGGCAACGCATGCATACACTACTTGATAAGAATCTCAGCAAGGAGGAATTCAAATGCAATATCAGCTTTTTTCCGTCATGATATAGTTTGGTCTTGCATACAAGGATAAAAAGATAAGGGATCCTAAATCTGGCTTCGCAGTTGCTTCAACACTGAACATATATAAAGGTTATCTCACTACTATTTGCTCAATCTCAAGTGAAGAGTCATGAAGTGACTTAGAGCCATTTTATAGCCATCTCTCTTCATCTATTGACCTATATAGGTAATCTAATTAATTTTGGTCACATGGCTTCTGGTCTCTGATCCATTCCACAAACTCCTGAGTGCCAAGATTTACATTTCATCAGGCTTTGCTATGGCATTAGCAAGAACCAAGTCTCTGATGCATAACTGTGCCCTCTTTGACCCTTTAAAGCAGATGATATAAATTTACAACATTTCAAAAAGATGAAAATCAGCAGTTTTCAAAGTGCAAATTCAGATACTCGTCCCTAAAATTTCGAAAAGATGTGCTAATTACCAACCCTGCTCCCAGAAAATAATAACATATAAATAAAAATGTGCAGATGCTGCAGTGCCTAACTCCACATTCTCACCTTTCTTCCTAGAACTCTCTGTTGATGAATCGCCTGCCTGGAAGAGTATCTTTTACCAGGAAGAATACAATCATTGAATGATTCACCTAAAGGAACTTTTGAAGGTACTAAACAGCCTATTTCCTGACCAAATGCAGGGCAGTCCAACCAACCTGCTAACACAAGGCAACCAGAATAAAAAAAAAGAAAACATTGAACAACAATATAAAAGGGAAATAATGGTGGTATGGTAATAATTGTCAAATTGCCAACCCGGTTTTCGATTAGGAAGAGACCACTTCTAGCACCTGATTATCTAAGACAATATTGCTTTCTTCGATAATACAATGACGCACCCAGACTAACAACTAATTAACCAACCACAACAATCAATACTAAAATTCACACATTCCTCCCCACCCACCCCACCCCTTCCTCTCCCAAGTTTCATATGAGGCTACTGGCATTATAAGATCTAGGAGAACATTGTCAAATTCAACTTTGATAAACAAAATCTATAAGATGTCTCCACATAGAAAAAGAAAATGAACGTGAGTTAGAAATTCCTTAAAGCACTCTAGTATGGATATCATCAAAAAACAAGCCAATCCTTGCCAGCACAATTGGCCTAAACTTACCTGGAGGGAGTTTATTATGAGGTCTCTGTTTTTTCATTTGATACCCATCATCATGAGGTGGTGGCTGAGATAGGTATGATAGCTGCTCATTGGGATGCTGTCTTTTTCGCCGCTGAATCCTCTCTTCACGTTCCTAATTCAAAATCATGCCTCATAAATCACCATTAGCATGTTGAATGGTGACATCTCAACTAAAAAACATGGGCTGCAAATATCATGGTGTCGCTTATTTTTATCTCCCTTCTTTTCATGGAGATGTAATAGCAGATGATGAGCATAATCACATTTTACCAATAATCCATTACTAAAGCATCACATTTTTCAAAACATAATTGAAAATCATCTTAAAATTCCCGGCTGAGAGTACCAATTTCGACAGGCGAGTACTGCAAACATAGACAGAAAATAAATGAAGCAGGGAAGGAGTGGCTAACGGAGCCTACCGGTCATCAGCCAAGTGAAGTAACAATTCGCAAGCCTGGAATGGTGGGTTCACAGAACATTAATCATCGGCTTCCAAGAAACAGAGATGTGAATTCATAACCTTAATCATCATTGCCCCAAGCCACAATAGCAGATCATAAGTTGTAATGCATCATTCACCAATTGAACTACCTCCTAGAAGTTTTCTACTACCTACCATTCTACCTTCTAAAGCATGGATTTATTCATCAGTTAACATTCCTATGCAAAGATACAATCATTAGCTCTAAAGAAGCACCAATCTGAAATATCGTGTGGAAAGGATTAAATGGTGTGTCTTCAGTAAATCTTGAAAAGGAACATATTTAAGACAGAGAGTGAAGTACCCGGCGCGAAATCTCAACAGCAGACTCCCCATGTTCTGAATGTTCGTTGTATTCTATCTGTTCTTCTGGTGCATGATCTTCTTCGAAATTTGGTTGATAGAACACTTCATCCTCTTCTGGTTCTGGGATGGCATTCAAATCCATGCCATTCAAATCCATGCTGCCCATGCCATTCAAATCCATGCTGCCAATCATTCAATTAACACCAAGAATCATTTGCTTGCATGCTATAGAACAATTTTATTCATTTTACTTTCAACGACACCAATATGAACCTTATCACAATAGTCAAACATAAATGAAAGTAAGGTGTGTCAAATATGAGATTCTCAGTGAAATATAGTCAATTGAGAGAGAGAACAAAATAGGATAGGAAAGAGTATACGAAATGTTATGCAATCTAATTTTCAAAGTTCGTAAAATACTATCATAAAATCTCACTCCAATATATTGATAGGATCCTGCACGGATGGCTGATTTCTACAGAAGAATAGAACACAGGGAAGCAAAGACCAACACAAGATGATTTAATTGAAGATTTTATATTACAGTAATTGTAGGAAACTGTAAATACGCAGAAACACGGTATCTACTTCTATGTGAATAGTATTCAGCAACAATGAAATAAAACAAGGGTATTTGGACATTCGAGAGGTCCAATTCTCTCCACTAGTTCCTGCTCAATCTTTTTGCCTCCTTTCCCCCTATTTCCCTCTCTCTCTATATAGCCATAGGTCATGTGATGCTCAACAAATCTGCCAATTGTTTCTGTTAAGTGCATGTGTTTGCTGTGGGTGAATTATCCAATTTGATTTCCTTCCTTGCCCCTGCTATTTTCCCCTGCCTTCATGAGTCGGTGGTCTATCATTACTCGTTGCCCCAAAATCCACCTTGTCCTCAAGGTGGAGGCAATCAATTCGTCACACAGCCACGATATTTCTTTTACAAATACTCTCATCATGGTCACCACGTAGAAGTGGAAAGAATTGCTCAATTGCACAAGTATCACAAGAATAGTATTCAAGGCAACTCCATAGCCTGTTGCCCCTACCCACAATTTGTCCAATTTTTTATTTTGACTCATCGAAATAAGTGTATAGCCAAAGAAGTTGACAGGCCTATTAACTCCAAGAAGTATATTGTCCATGAAAACCCCATATCCAGTTGCACCCTTTCGCGCATTTCCCAAAAATTGAAACCGCCAAAGTGAAATAAAAGGATGGATAGTACAACCAATCAGCTTCGCAACCCCTTCTTGTGCTGCTATTGAATTAATTAAAAATCCTAACATATCACCAACCTCCACATAATTGTTGGTATTAAAAATTCCTTCACTTTTATAGCCACCTACCGATCCAAATTCATTATCATTGATTTCTCAAACTGTTCCTCCTGTCTCATTGTTTGACAGAACAATCTCATGGCCCATCTGATTAAGTTCATTCCAACCCACTTTGTTAGGTACCAAATACCACATGAACAACGGAGAATAACCCGAAAAATTACCTGAAAATTGCACCTCTTCCTCATCTACAGGCACAAAAACAGTTAACTTCAAATTCTTGCCTAATATCGAGAAAGAAATTTGATGAAGGCTAATTATGCCCATCTCCACTAAATCACTCAACAAACCCCTAGTCGACATTTCCACTTCGTAACTCCTAATCTGACCTGTGAGTACCATGTACTGCAATTTGGTTTCTATCAACACCTCGGAAAACCGAGTCGACTCCTCATCAGCGCCGGATGGTCTGATTTCGGCCAAATTAAGGCCTGGTTGAAGCTGTATCGTGAGATTACGGAAAGGCATTTAGCGTACTGGGTATTAGTAGGTTGGGTATCAATTAACCTGCCTCTGCTTTTCACTGGGCTGGATTCTTTCCATTGGTAATGGACCATTTGTCTTGTTTCTTCAATTTTTGAATTTGTTTCATCAACATGTTGGCCCATATCCATAAAACAGCCCAAACCTTAGGCTGTAGTCTTCTATCATCAGCCCATGACATGGGTTTCAACCCATTAACCATCCGGTTTCTCTGAAATTCCTCTGGCGACGTCTGTAAGGAGGCGACCGATTTTTCGAACAGCATCGAGTGACTCCTGTAATTGCGGCCAGATTCAAATTCCTCAAATATAGGCTGAATTTCAGATTTGATGGGGGCACCAGGCAAGGTCGTTATCTCCCTTTTTTTTCTTCCTTTTCGATTCTTGTTCTCCCCAATTCGGAAACTTCATTTCGCTCTTCTCCAGCAATAGAATTTTTTCCTCCACCGGTGAAGGCGATGGGGACACAAGCACTTTACCAGGCTGTTCTTCACGCGCTGTCTCCCGGTTCAACTCATTCACCTGCTTCCACTCTGAAAATTCACCAACGGAGATCTGCTTCATGGGAAATCGAACCATCATCCTCGCCTTCAATTCTACCCAGGTCTCTATTGGACAGCTATCGTCTATCTCTTGGGACCATGCCCAAGCCTCTCCATAAAAGCAAGCAACTGCGGCTTCTACCTTTTTCCTCTCCGGTAATCCGTGATTCTTGTCTATGCATCGCTCTACCTCAATCAACCACGAATCTAAATTGTCCACATAGAATAACGATGTGTTGAGTCGGCCGCAAGAATCCAACCCTGAATCATCATTTCGATCTCCTTCCTGTCGCATCATCAAGCGATCAAAATCAACTCATTAACGAGCTCCAATTTTCCTCCCATTCCTTGCTGATGTTTGTTTCCATTTTCCACAGAATCGGTGCACTGATACCAATTGATAGGATCCTACACTGGTGGCTGATTTCTACAGAAGAATAGTACACAGGGAAGCAAAGACCAACACAAGATGATTTAATTGAAGATTTTATATTACCGTAATTGTAGGAAACTGTAAATACGCAGAAACACGGCATCTACTTCTATGTGAATAGTATTCAGCAACAATGAAATAAAACAAGGGTATTTGGACATTCGAGAGGTCCAATTCTCTCCACTAGTTCCTGCTCAATCATTTTGCCCCCTTTCCCCCTATTTTCCTCTCTCTCTATATAGCCATAGGTCATGTGATGCTCAACAAATCTGCCAACTGTTTCTGTTAAGCACATGTGCTTACTGTGGGTGAATTATCCAATTTGATTTCCTTCCTTGCCTCTGCTATTTTCCCCTGCCTTCATGAGTCGACGGTCTATCATATATCTTGTAAGGAGCATACATAACAAATATAATAGAAACTGAAGTTCTAACATTGGGCATGCATATGAAAATATTGTCATAGCGAATCAAAAATAGATGGGTTAAAGAAGACTGAAGCAGAATAAAAATAAAAAATAGAACTGAATTCATACAAAAATATATACTCCATTTTATTCAGATACCAAAATTAACTCGTAGTCTCATCCAGCTGAACATCACATGATATTTCCTTCTTTCCAACTCCTCTCCTAGCACGCACACCCCCCAAAGGTAGGGGAGGGCTAAGTTTTAGTCTAGCAGGAAAAAAGTTTCGTTTACCTCTTTGGTTGTGTTTTAACAGACAGTAAAGAACTATGTTACCTAAGTCAATATAAAGAAATTAAACGGAACTGCAATACATTAAATTTGCAATATTGTCTCTAATCAAAAGATTCTAAAGGGCATTTTTAACATTGAAAATCCAAGTAATACAAGCAAACATAATATTGTCAAAAACTGGTGAAAGCAAATTAACAACATTAAAGTGACATTCAAATCTTAAACTTGAGATAAACAAAAATTGAAAATGGCAGCATTCATCTAGAAGGAGAAGGGGGTGCCAAACCTAACTACATAGCATTGTACATTAAAGAAACATCATGTAATATTCCTACTCCCACTCCAGAACCTTGCCGATTGAATCCTTGCTGATTCATATGGGATACCATGTTTACAATGCTAGTGTAAGCTAATTGAAATTGGTCTTCAATTGGGATACTAGAACAAAAGATCTAGAAACCTGTCCTCTTGTCATTGAAGCAAATATAGTAGTTCAAAGTTGAATCTTGTAACTTAGCTAAAGGTTGTAGGGTCATAAATATGCAGGAAACTAGCCTTTGTAATCATACAGATGTCATCCGAATTCAAAAGGAATATGCGGCTATGCAAAAAGAGAATTATGAAAAAAGTCAACTAATTGCAAAACATGAACTAATGAAGTAAACTTTTAAATTCCTCGAAACAACAAAAGCAGTACATACCACGTCTCTTTTTCCAACTGACATCACTAGAACCTTTTAGAATACAATAAGAATTGAAGATAACAGGTTGTTCAAACTGCAGATGTCAATCAATACAGGAAGGATGCAGGACCCAATCAAATATTTATGATTACTTTAGCCCAAATTTTTATATTTCTTTTTCCTTTTCCAGCGTTAATTCATAAAACAAAAACCTAGATATCCATATATTCATTTTAGTCAACAATTTCCTCTATTCCCAGCAGGAATCCCCCATATCTAACTCTGCATTGTTCATCTCCATTTCAGCGCTAAAATGCTGATAGTGTCCCACGATAAATCTTTTTAGTTTCAGTGGATAACAAAATCGAGGATCAAAAATCATTCATTTACTGCAAATAAGTCCAGAAGGTCCCTTTTGCCTAAATTTCATCTTTTTTCTTGTATACAGGCATGTGTAGTAGAAAAAACTTGTTCCAGCAATTATGGGGGACATGATCGACAAATTAAAACAAGGAAAGAAGTTCAAACCTCAAGAACAAAAAAGGTTGAAACTTGAGATAATCCGCGAATAATTCTTGCAGAAGACCTTCAAACCACCACGATAAAACCCACGTCAAAAACAAAAATCAAATAAAAGCCCTCTCCATTACAGTATGGACGACAGAAACCCTAAAATTGAGTCCAAATGATATAATCCATGATCGAAACTTCGACTCTGCAAAACCCTAGAGGAAGAAATAGGCTCTGCTGTTGTTTACTTTTATTAATCCATTAAGAAGAGAAATTTTTACATCAAAGAAAATGAATTTAATTATAAAATACGTACAGACACAAAAATATTATTGTGTAATTTAGTGCTTGTTTGGTAGAAAATTTGATAATTGATTTTTTTATCGTTGGAGATAAAATGGATTTTATTTATGAGAGAAAAAATAAAAAAATAACGATTGAAATAATGAAATAACGATCAAAAAAATTAATTTTAATTGGATTAATAGTTATATCAAAGATTCCACCGTTCCAAAACCTATTTGTACGATTAGGGCATTACGGGAGCGGCGTGGAAGGACGGAGGAGAGAGGGGCAGTTTGGTAACTTACCTACCTTTCAAAAAACTAAGGGTGCGCTTGTGGGCCCTTTTTAGTTAAAAAACGAATTATGTAATAATGATTTTTTTGAAAATGTATAATTAAAAAGTAAAAGAAATTTAATTTACATGATAAAATATTTTATTATGAAAATATGTGATTAAAAATTAGTTAAAAAAAATGAGTTTTTAGATAATGAAAATTAAACACATCTTAAGTCTTTGTTTAATCCCTATTATTTTCAAAATACGTTTTTTTTTTCCAACCACACATTACTTAATAAAATAATATTACACACAAATTTATTTTTTCTTTTAATTACACATTCTCCATCGATCTATTCTTTTGAAAATGTATTTTTACATTAAAATGGGGCTCAAACATGCTTTAATTATATTCATGTTGCATTTTATTTGTCATCCAGACTCGAAACTTTATTACTTTATAATAAACTTTGTTATTCTTCAACTTAGAGCTTGTTTGTCTTCCATTTCTTGAGAAAATATAGAGTTTTGAATAATAGTTCTTTGAGAATGTGTGGTTAAAATTTAAAAAAACTTTATTGATTTATATGTAAAATATTTTATTGTGTGAATGTATGGTGAAAAATGTTACTATACCAAACAATTTATTTTGTTAAAGGATGACAAACAAGACCTTAATATCATAAATTTGGTGAGTCGCCATAGGTGGCTGAAAGATGGCAAACTAACTCATCTCACCGGGACCTGCCCTATGAAGAAGTAAAAAATAAAAAAATATTAATTGGAGCATTATTTTCTTTGAATTTTATAATTTTGAATTTGTATTTTATTCTTAAACAGGCAAGCCTAAATGAAAAATGGAAAATTATTGGTTTCTTCGAATATAAGCCGCCATCTCCAAACGACCACCACCTCCACCTCATTCTTGCAGTCACTCATAATTGGATACTCCAAGTCCACAATTTTTTCAAATACTTTTCATAGTTGAAAAGATAAGTACCAGAAGAATAAGGAAAATGGAATCTGAATTAGGGCAGCCCTCGAGCAAAAGCCAACAACGTAATAGAAAAGGGCCTCCAAAGTTGATGGACCTAAAAAAAATTCATAGTATTATTTGCTAATTGTAATTATTTTTATATTTAAATCATTCCATTTACCAAAACACGTTTGGCTTTCTTTTGTGTTTTAGGTTTAAGTTTTGAGTTGATTTTCAGTTTTCTGTTTTGAGTGCCATTTTTTAGATTGATAAAATTGTGTTTTAGTTTGTCATTCAAAAAATTATTTCTCAAAATGAAAAATTAAAAAATATATTTATAATTATGAAATGTTATTTTATGGCATTTTATTTCATTAAATTTAATTATTCAGTAACAAAGAAAAATTTTATGTTAAAATATTATCAAGTAATATATATATTTTAAAGTTAATGAATCTTGCAATAATTTTTCTTATTACAGATGTAAAATAAAAATAAATAATAAATTGATTTTAAAATTTGAAAAATAAAAATAAAAATTGATGATGCGTGGATTGAGAATATTTTTATTTGAGTTCATCTAAATAATTTTTTTATAGTTTTTGTATAAATAAGAGTTTGAACTATTTTTATTTCCATAATTTTTGTTTTTCTAAAAAATTTTAGAATTTTAATTTTTTCAGAAATTTTATTTCCTACATATATAAAAGAGCAAAACTTTGCCTGGACACATGTCGCAATTACTCATCATCTTCCTTTTTTTCCTTTCATTCTTTTATTACTTCACGTAACCATTAGCTCAAACATTTCAACATCCTACTCCACAATCCCGTACCTCTAAAATACGATCAAATCCTGACCCAAAAGCTCATTTGTATGCATGGCCATACCTCCATCCAATTCTGTCCAAAATTACAACACTCACGACCAAACTTCATCACATATTGTTTATAAAACCGAAGACGAGCAGTTTCATGGTCACTTATAATTATTAGCAAACATTTTAAATCAGAATCTCTGTAATTTTTATGTAAGTATATGTTTAGTATACTTTCAAGTAACCATTTGTTTTCTATTTTTATGAATTATGATTTTCATTTTTTTGTTCTCTTGAATTAATCATCATTTTTCCTAAATTCTATATATATAGTAGCTTGAACTCAATGAGACAAATAAAATTTTGAAACAATAGGTTTGTATTATTGTATACTTATGGAGAAAATTAACTTATAAGTTGATTATAAGAAGTTGTATTCAATTATAAGCATTGGAGGATGATTTTTGTAGTCAAGTATAGTAGAATCACAAGTCTCCGGCTGCTCTGTGCAGCACCATGCTGCAAGGAGACTAACTCTGCATGTTGCGTGGAGAGTTTCTGTTACAATTCAATTTTTATAGTCAAAAATTCAAATGTTGACTAGTCAACGTCGAAGTCAATTAAGGACTAAAATAAAATTAAATATTTTATTTGGGTTTATTTTGCAATTGGCAAAATATGAAGGTTAAATTGGATGCATTTCAAAGTTTGGAATTTATTTATATACTTTTAGAAGTTATAGGATTAAATGTCACTCAAAAAAGGAGTAGAAGGACTTATTTTGCAAATTTTGGTATGTGGACCATTAAATTCAACCTTTGACCCATTTTATCTCAAATTCACACACTCACAAACACAAAATAACAGGCAGAAGCTGGAGACCGAAAAAATTAGGGAAAGGGGGAAGAAAAAAAGGAAAGAATGAAGGGAAGAAGAAGAAAAGAGGTAAGGCTAATCTCTTCAGGTTTGGATTAAATTTTTCCATTTGTTTTAAGTGATAAAGTATGAATTATGTTAAAATTCTAGGGTTTTATTTTGGATCGAAATTTTCAGATTTTTTTGAGATGAATACTACTTGGAACTCAAGTTGTTGATTCTTGAATTTCTATCTACATTAAGGAAAGGAGATGTCAATTTTTTATTTTTATTTTTTGGGAAACCCTAGAATTCGATTTTTGAATTTTTGATTAATTAATTGTGGAAATGATTATATAAATGGAATATTTCACTTGGGAGTTGATTTTATGTAACAAATGTATATTAAATGGGTGGAATTGTGGTTACTAGTTTCACTACATTGGAGAGTAAAATTAGTTTTAAACTTGGAAAAAAGGTTTTGTTGATGAATTAGTTAATAGAAAAGGGATTAGAAAGTGGGATTAGCTCCAATTGATCAAAAGAAATTTTGAGAATTTACTCAAGTGTCAAGAGAATTTAAATTAAGTTCTATCATTAGATATTAAAGTTTCTTGATTAGATAGAGGATAAATTAGTTATTAATATCGTATTTCAGGTGGTGACAAAGAAACGTTTATCAGGCAATTTAGCTTGTAGCTCCTACCTCGTGAGTGGATAACACTTATTTTTCAAAAATAAGTCTTCTTTAAATTTTAAAGTTATTTATTTTATAAAGTTGACTTCATAGCATGATTTTCAGAATAAAATGGATTTTATTATCAATTTCTTTTAAAGTTAAATTCAGTTCAGTTAAGTTATTTTAGTAGCATGTTATATTCTTATTTCATGTTTCAGTATAGTTAAAGTTATTTCTAAAAATCACCAGAAAGTACCCAGGTGATTTTACCCCAATTTGCACTGATGTGAATGTGTTTTCACAGTATATGACTAGTTATAGTGATTTTACCCGCTCTGCACTATCGTGAATGTGTTTCCATAATGTATGACCAAATTATCAGAGGTCTTTGGGACCCACTCTCGTACACACATAGGCTTTGGGCCGTGTATTAGGGTGATTAGCCTTTGGGGCAGCTCTGCGTACGTATGACCAGATTCTCAGATTATCAGATTTTAATGACTTTGCCTTGTACATCGAGATTACTCTGTACATGAGTAAGGCTATTCATTGGATACTCTTTGTGGTGTGATTTTTCAGTATTTATTCAGTTCTCAGATTTCAAATTATGAAATTCAGTTAATTCAATTTTCAAAATAAAGCTTTCAACTTATAGTATTGAGCAGCAGCAATATTTCATAGATTTTAATGAATATCAAATTCCTTATATTTGTTATACCTTACAGATACTTATCTAGAATTTAGAACAAATAGTTTTATAATGTAATCATGTTATAGTTTTTAAAAGTATTACTAGATTCAGAAATTTTCAAGGATTTAATAAAGTTAACATTTTTAGAAAATATGCATAAATGGAAAAAGTTTACTTAATTGCAAATCATCCACTCAATGAGTTACGAACTCATATTTTTGTTATATTTTTCCTATCAGGAGACCGTTAATTTTGAGATACTTGGAAAAGTCTGCTGAAACAAAAGAGACCGTTTCATAGTATGTAATGAATTGTTGGGGGACTCGTGTTTATTAAGTACTTTGTCTAATATTTGGGATGTCATGCACTTTGTAGAAGGATTTGTAATTAATGTAATGCTTGCATGTAGACATGATGTTGTTGTAGAAGCACTCAGTCGAATTTTGTTATATTTTGTTTTAGTTGCGGTGGTATTAGTGGAAGTGGTGGCTTCCAAAACTTTTGGTTTGAATGTCTATTTGAGGTTTTGATCATGTTTCAGGTTGGTTTTGTCCATTTTTAAGGGGAAACTCTGTTAAAATTTTCATAAAATTATAGTACAGTCAAATAGGTCGAGTTTGCCTTGGTCGTGAGTCCGACATTTAACTGGCATCTACCATCGGCGCACGACACATGTCGAGTTAATTAGGTTGAGTCGGGACAGGTCGTGTCAGTTGCTCCATGCAGCATGGAGTTAATGCTACATGGGGACATTCTCCATGCAGCACAGGTCTCTCATTCTCACATTGAGCTCTAGTCCTTCTCTCAGGTCACACACCATACATATGTATTCTCCATGCAGCCTACTATGGTCATTCAGATTGCCTACAGCAGATTCTTTCTGCTACTCATTCTACTCCAATTGCGCAATCGTGGTGACTATTTCTTCCATGTGTTGTCTTATCTAAATTTATGACCCCAATGCTTGTCTATTAAAAATGAAGTGCTAATTCTTGTGCTCAAACGGGAGGTCAAGTGACTTTCGAGATTTGTTAACATAAGGGATGGAAGAGGTGCAACCGCACTGCATTTGGTAGGTCGTCAAAGGCGACATGATTGTGTTCGCGTTCTATTGAGCAGTGGGGCTTCTGCGTCTACCTTTACTGGTGGATATAGGTGTAAATTTAATATAGTTCTTTTAGCATTTTGTCGCATTCATTAGTTATAATGACAGATAATCTTTGCAACTACTCGTGGAGTACACCTCTTCGTTTGGCTGCACGGGGTGGTTCTTTGGACTGTGTATGGGATTACTTAGGATGCTAATCATCTTCAAAGAGATTTCTCTGGGTGAGCTATGGAACTGTCTCCAAAACACATGCATCTCCATCGAAGTTACTTAAATTATTGCATATATTGTTTTACTGGTTTTAAGTCTTGCAGTAAAAATCAAATGTTGATAATTCTCGCCTCTTGTCTAGCTAATTAGTTTGGACTAATGGATAGCTTCACTAGGTGATTTCATGTCTCTATAGAATTCTTTTGTGATTAATAAACCAATCCATTTTATAGTTGAGATGTTTTAGGTGAAAACGCTTACAGAATATGACACCCAACTTGGAGATGTCTACTTTAGTGTTGGTTTCTCTGTCATATGGAATTATGGAAACGATGTTCACACGCAATACCACCAATTTTACCAAACATCATTTTTTGTTTGCTCTTAGTTCCAAGGAGCATACTTACTATGTTTAGAGGCTATACTCATTTGCGCAAGTAAATCTATTGAAGTCTAAAAGAAATGTGCTCTGAATGAAACCTCCATGATACAAAAGCAATTTCAATCTAATTCAGTGTGGCCCTCATGTTTGGCAATTTCAATTTTATAGTTTACAACCCAAATATAAATAAATGAGGGTTTTTACCACCTAGGTTGCTTAAATAAATTTATAGGAGTGTACTTAATTAAGATTTTATTGGATTTTTAAAAATTATACATTTTTAATGAATTTCATGAATTTAAATAGATTTTTACAAAATCCTTAAAAATCTCATTAAAAATGATAAAATTTTGAAAGAGTTATGTTCATTTTTATGCTTGAAACCATCCAAATCTATTGAAATCCTTATAAATCTACAAGTTATTTGAGATACCTAGAGTTTAATGGATTTTAATAGAATCCATTAAAATCTCTAATGGGGTCACCTGAATTTACAATGACTTAAAAAAATCCACTAAATTCTGTGTTGAGGCATGTCTATTCCAATTTAATAAAGTTCAAGTTTCGGAATTTATATAAATATACATAAAAATTGATTTTAATTTCAAATTAAATTCAAGTATAACCCTGAATAAGCAGGAAGATGGATACCGCCACCTCTACTGAGTAGTTATTGTGGATGGTATATATATCTTCTCTATTAATTTCTTTGATAGTTCTTGTTGCAGGTAAAGATGGATACCGCCACCTCTACTAACATTAAAAGGACCAGAAGATGAAAAGGAGTCTAAGAACACTTGTGCTGCTGGGAAGAGCAAGGTATTTTTCCAGTTTTTATCACAATTATGTTAAAGTAGCATATATCTTAATTGCTGTATCAATTCAATTTTATCACAGAACCAACACATCTCCAGTTGTGCGGCTCTTTCACCATCTTAACATGGTTATATTCATTCATACTCACAATCTGTTAGAAGTGAATCAAAGGAAATTGGAGGTTGAAACTAGGCTTCTGAAGAGTTATCTAGATAATTATTCTGCAAGTTAAGAGGAGGTTTTAGTACAACTTCCAGCCAAATCCATCATTTTACTCTCTCTCCATGGAGAATTCATATTTGAGAGCCCTTTTTATATAATCCTAAGGTTAAATCTCTGCTTATTTAATTGTATTCCTAATGTTTCTACTGCAAGTTTAGAAGAAATTGACTGCTGCTAGATTGGCTGCTTTTTTAAAAATTGTCTTGTATGTCCGTTCAACACCCACCGTACACTTATATTTAATATTCATCAATTAACATGCAACGCACGTTTTCCCCACTAGTTATGTTTAAAAAAATGAGTTCTAGATTTTATTTTTTCAAAATTTTAATTTTTTATAACTTACCAATTTTATTTTTTGAAATTTAATCTTTTTTGAATTTTATTTTTAAGTTTTAAAACTTTTAATTTTTAGATTTTATTTAAATGCTTGTTTTCCATAATTTGAGTGTTTTCAGAAATTTCATTAAAAACACTAAAAATGTCAAAAATACGTTTTAAGTTTTATGTTATGAGTTTAATCTTTTTTTGAAAAACTCATTTTCTGAAATAATAAATCAAATACATTTTCAGTTACAAAATTGAAAAGTAAAAACAATTTGAAAACAACAAACTAAAGTCACCCTAAGCTTCTAGAATTTCTCAATCACTCTTCAAATATCAAAAGGGCAGCAAATTCGCAAAGCATAAATTTTTTTATAAAACTGTTTGAATTCCAATCCATTTCCATTTTTTCTGTTTTTTATGTGATTACCATCTGCAAAATTGAGGTTAATGGTTTAAAAAATAGTCGTATATTTCCTCTCCTCGGAAAAATCTCTTTTTATAGGTAACAATTTTCGAAGTTAACGTTGAAATGCTTAAATATTGTTTTGTTTTCACCATAATTTGGGTAGGAATTGGTTTTATAATTGTATCATCTTTTAATAATGTTGAGATTCTTAAATATTTTTTTATCGAAGTTCTGAAATTTCGTAATTTAACTTCAGTTTCCCAAGTTTGTTCAACAATTAAACAGGTGGGTTTTGTGAACTTTTCAATTGATTGTGGAGTTAAAGAGTTTCTTATTAATTTGCTGAGAGTCTTTCCTTTATATTATGGAAAGGGAAAAGAAACATGAGAAGAATTATGAAACTATGAGATTATCATTAGAATCTTTAATTTATTATGAAAAACCAATATGACAATATTATCTTTTTAGTTCCATGTTAAATTACTATTTTCTCGTTAGTTTGTGTTTCGCTTTTCTTTTGAATATGAGGTCATTTTAATTTATTTATTTTTATTTTGAGGGTCTATTTTAAAATTGAAAAAAAAAAATTCGTATAGTCTGTCATTTTGAAAAATTGTTTCCCAAGATATAAAATTAGAAAATACGATTAATTTGAAAATTAGAAATTACTATATGGCATTTCATTCCATTAAATTTTATTATTTAATAAATTATGTCAATATATTATTTTTTGTATTGAATTTTATTTTATAAATTTAACCTTGATTTCAAAAATATACTATTTTCGAAAAATATCAAACAAAACAATTTTTAGTATTTTATAAAATTGAAAATGCCATATATATATATATATATATGTAGAGAGAGAGAGAGAGAGAGAGAGAGAGAGAGAGAGAGAGAGAGAAGAATTATTGAATTTCTTCACTTGGTGAAATTTGGTATTTTTTTAATTCGAACTCTTCAATCAAGTTTAATGCTCTTGCTTATAATTTTATCTACTGTAAAAATTGAACCTAAATATGCCAAATAAAAATAAATAAATAAAGTTCATAAAGAAAATATTTAACCTTTGTTTGTCATCTTTTAACAAATTAAATTATTTGCTACAGGACATTCCCTACCACACATTAACACAATAAAATATTATGCACACAAACTAATAAAGTTTCTTCAAATTTCAAACACACATTATCCAAAAAATATTATTCCAAACTCTATAATTTCTTTATTAATGGGAGACAAACATGCTCTTAATATTAGAAAGAAGCATTGGATAAGTTTTTTTTTTTTTTTCTTTTTGTAATAGTAGAGAAAGACATAATGAAGATGTAATTATAGAATGCGAGTCTAATGAGAATGATATTGGAGATAGTATAATTAAATAACAACCCTATTTGGTGAATAAAGAGATATGTACTAAAGATGATATTGTGAATGATGAAACATGAACGAAAGGGATAATGAATCATTTCCCTTTCATATAAATGAACAATAGATTGAGAAATTATGAATCAAACATTAAAGGATTTAATTTGTAATCAAAGGTTAAATGTTGTAATTTTTCAAAAAGATAAAGCAAATTTCACGTTATGTCGATGATTACCCAATAAAGATAAGAATGACAGAAAGTGATTGAAATATTCAAAAAGTTTGGAAAAACACATTCAGCTTTTGGCGTAAGTTATTCAAAGATGATGGAATTAGAACAAAAATAGCATACGATAGCATGAATGGTTGAAAAATATGAATGAAAAACTTAAAATTTATGAAGTGAGTTGTAATTACAACACTAACATGAGTAGACTTATCGAAATAAAAATAATAATTGAAAAGATTAGAACAATCAATAGAAGCTGCACGAACAAATCGTTGGAAATAATGAACTTTTGAGACAAGTATTTTTGAAAATAATATATGTGGTGATAATTATTGCTAAAAAATAATTTAGCACCGCGTGAAGACAATAAAAAAATGTATCTAAAAATTAATGGTATCTTCTTAAACCTAGTTCAAATTCAAATAATTATTGAGTTTGATCCCATAATGCAAAAGCAATGATTATATTGACAATGGTGAAATGACGGCAGGAATAACACGAAGATGACATCAATGGGTGATGGTGTAACATAGTATGTTATAATTTGTGGTGGCAGCAACAATGGCAAATTTGTTGTGATGGTCCAACTATAGCGGTGTAACAATGAATTTAGAAGTGGTGGTGGTTGTGACGACATAACAAGAAATGCCACAATTGATTTGTGCTGATGAATGGTGTTTGATGATGAATGTTACGAGTGGTGAAGTTGTTAATGAACGTGGTGTAATACTAAATGCCACAAGCGATAGTGATGCCAATGATAAAATGTGTGAAATGTGTGTGATCTATTGTATTACAAGTACAAGCACACCGTCAATTATAGAAACAAGACTATTAAGCGTGCATAATGTTCCTACTATATAAAAAGGGGAATGTGAGGGTACTATAGAAAGCAACAGTGTATTGATCCATCTTTACTGTAGCATTTTTGTTTTTTTTTCTTTTTTTCAATTGGGGGCCAAAAATGACGCCGTTTGCTTTATATATATTTTATTTTATTATACACTATCTCCAAATTTACTGCAACACACAATTTCCATTCCTCCCCCACTCCGATATAGATATATATAGTAGGGATATAAGAAAAAATCACTTTTATATATATAAAAAAAAAGATAGAGATAATATGGGACAGAAATTTTTTTACAACATATTACTTGTAAGTAAAAAATTTGAAGAGAAAAGAATTAAAGAGAATTTTAAATTGAAAAAAAAATTATAACGTAAAATTACACAGCAAAAAAAAAGTAATCTCTCCGTGCAGGGAGACTAAAGAAACAAAAAAAAAAATTAGGAAGGACTTCGTCCACGAAGAGAGAAATAATATATATTTTTTATATTTATATTTTTGTGTTCATTTTCAGGCTCATTATGAGATATCAAACGAAATCGAAATATTACATTCTTAATATTATTTTGAAGTACTCGCGGCATAGTATTGCACATTGTTAACGGTGCGTGAAACGATCAATCGTAGCAAATGTTATGGGACGTCAAAGTAGGCATTTTCAAACTATATTTCGAAATTTTCGATAACAAGCTAATTTTAAAAATTTATCGACAATTGTATGATAGTCAAATCGATAAATATTTTACATTCTCTAGAAATTCATTTTGAGAACTATATCGTAGAGACATCGAATGATCTAAATAGATATCAAAAATAGTTAAACGAATATTAAACGTATGTGTTAAAAAATACGCATAAATCGTTTTTTCTTTAAAAAATCAATTATTTTATTACTATTTCAAAATTTTCGATATCAAGCTAACTTTAAAAATTCGTCAACGATTGTACGATAGTCGAATCGATAAATGTTTTACATTCTTTTGAAACTCATTTTGAGAACTATGAGTCCGTTTGTTCCACATTTTTCCAACAAAAATGTATTTTAAACATCACATCATGAGTCCTACCTTAGAGTGTTAAAGTCAAATATTGTAGACTGATTTGATGGAAAAAATGTATTATTTTCCGAAATAATGTGCACCAAACAGGGGCTATATCATAGAGATATCAGATGATCTAAATAAATATCGAAAATAGTTAAACGGAGATTAAACTATGTGTTAAAAATGCGTATACGTCGTTTTTCTTAAAAAAAATCAATTATTTTATTACTATTTATTCTTTTTTCCCAACAATTTTCTCAATGCATCATTTTGTTCAAAAAAATTATGTGGTATGACGAAATTTTTTTTTCCATGCACGGAGTGAGTGTGTTTTTTTTCATCATTTTATATATTGAATTATTACTAGAAAATTAAATTTTATCTCAAACTATTAAAAAATACTGATTAATAATAAAAAGTTTGAAGAAAAAAATTAAAAAGAATTCTAAATTGAAAAAACTATTATTTATAATGTAAAACTACACAAAAAAAAATTTCAAATCTAAGTTTCTGTTTGGAATTATTAAGAGAAAAGAATTATAAATTGAAAAAAAAATTATAATGTGAACAACAAAAATTAAAATTCTTTTTAATTCTTTTTTCTTCAAATTTTTTACTTAAAAGTAACTTTCTGTAAAAGATATTTTTATTTTTTTTATATAAAAGTAATTTTTTTCTTATATCCCTACTATATATATTTATATAAGAGTGTTTGAGCATGGAGTGATGGGAGGTATGAAAATTACGTGTTGTAGCAGTTTCTTACAGTATAATAAAATATTTTAAAGTAAAATTTTTTTTTTTATATATTTCGACTTCGTTTGATTATGTTTTATTACAGCATAATAAAATATTTTATAGTTAATATAAGTTTTATTATAAAAAGAAAAGAATTAAAAATTTTTAAAGTAAAAAAAAAATTATTTAAGAATGCAATTCCTAAATAAAAAAAATTAAAAATTAAAAGCATATCTCCATACACAAAGGCTTTTTGTCTCCGTGCACGGAGACATTGTCTTCATGCACGGAGACTTTTTGTTTCCATGCACGGAGTAAATTTTTTTTTTTTTTAATATTTGTGTTGTTTACATTATAAATTTTTTTCCAATTTAAAATTCTTTTTCTCTTAATAATTCCAAATAGAGACTTAGATTCGAGATTTTTTTTTTTGTAGTTTTACGTTATAAATAATCGTTTTTTCAATTTAAAATTCTTTTTTCTTCAAATTTTTTAATTAAAATAACTTTTTCTAAAATATTTTATGTCTTATACTATCTTTATTTTTTAATTTTTTTTATATAAAAATGATTTTTCTTTTCTTATATCCCTACTATATATATCTATATAAGAGTGGCTGAGCACGGAGTGGTGGGTGGTATGGAAATTGTGTGTTACAGTAGTTTCTTACATTATAATAAAATATATAGCAAGCAAGACAAACGACGTCGTTTTTGTGGGGGGCAAAAACGACGCCGTTTCCTTTGCATGCTATATATTTTGTTATTATATTTAAGAAAGGATAATTTACTGCAATACGCAGCTTTTCATATCTACCACCAAATATTTAAAGCAGTATTATTACTATAAAATTAAATATTATATGAAATTATTAAAAAATAAAAATACTAATAATATAAGATAAAAAATATTTTTAAGAGGTAAAAAGTTACTGTGAGTAAAAAAAATTAAAGAGAAAGAAATTAAAAAAGAATTTTAATTTGAAAAGAAAAATTATTTATAATGCAAATCAAAACTAAGTTTCTGTTTGGAATTATTAAGAGAAAAGAATTTTAAATTGAAAAAAAATTTATAATGTAAACAAAACAAATATTTAAAAAAAATAAAAAATAGTTAAACGGACATTAAATGTATGTGTTAAAAAATACGCATAAGTCGTTTTTTCTTAAAAAAATCAATTATTTTATTACTATTTCGAAATTTTCGATAACAAGCTAACTTTAAAAATTCGTCGACAATTATACGATAGTCGAATCATAAATGTTTTACATTCTTTCGAAACTCATTTTTAAAACTATATCGTAGAGACATCGAATGATCCAAATAAATATCGAAAATAGTTAAACGGATATTAAATGTATGTGTTAAAAAATGCGTATAAGTCGTTTTTCTTAGAAAAATCAATTTTTTTTATTATTATTTATTATTTTTTCGCAACATTTTTCTCAATACATCATTTTGCTCAAAAAAATTATGCGGTATGATGTAAATTTTTTTCAATTATTTAAAATTTCATTTTTTTTCCAAGTAGGGAGCAAAAACGACACGTTCCTCTGTGCATAGAGTGCATGAATTTTTTTTTTCACATTATTATAGATAAAAAAAATTATATTATCGTAGTTGGATATATCTATTAATTTCAGACAATATTTAATTCTATAGTAATATTTTTAGTAATATTGAATTTTTTAAATTAAATTTATCTAAATATTACTTTAGATTAAATATTAACTCAAAGTTTTATATATATTTCTTTATATAGTAAAAAGTTTGCTTCAAGTTGTCAAAAAATAAAAAAATAATATATATATATCATTGTAGTTAGTTCATATAGTATAAACAGGTATTAGCTTTTATTTTAAAAAAGAAGAAAAGAATAAGAGGACTCCGTGCATGGAGACTTAAAGTCTCCGTGTACAAAGGAGAAAAATGAATTTTTTTTTTACTTATATTTTTGCGTTTATTTTCAGGCTCATTATGAGATATAAAACGAAGTCGAAATATTACATTCTTAATATCGTTTTGAAGTACTTACGACATAGTATTGCACGTCGTTAACGGTGCGTGAAACGATCAATCGTAGCAAATGTTATGGGACGTCAAAGTCGGCATTTTCAAACTATATTTTGAAATTTTCGATAACAAGCTAACTTTAAAAATTCATCGACAATTGTACGATAGTTGAATTGATAAATGTTTTACACTATCTCGAAACTCATTTTGAGAACTATATCGTAAAGATATCGAATGACCAAAATAAATATCGAAAATAGTTAAACGGAGATTAAACGTATGTGTTAACAAATATGTATAAGTCATTTTTTCTTTAAAAAAATCAATTATTTTTTTCTTTTTAATTCTTTTCTCTTCCAAATAAAACTTAATTTTTCCAGTTTTAACGAAAAAGTTATATGTAGGTTAAAAAAATTGAAGAGAAAAGAATTAAAAAAAATTATATATAGTGTGGTCTCTGTGCGCGGAGAATTATTCAAAATTTATTTTTTTTAACTTTTTCGTTCTCCATTTTCATACGCTATGGCCACGCCTTTTCAAATCAACTCATTTACTTATATTATTATATTATATATATAGTGTAAGAGAGGCAATGTGAATCTATGTAACACTCAACTTTACATACCTCCCGCCTTATTCCGTACTAACCACTTTTATAAGTAAAAAAAAAAAAAACACTTTTAGTACAAAAAAAAAATTAAAAATAAACATATAAACAAAAAATATTTCTAATATATGTAAAATTACTTATATAAGTAAAAAAAAATCGTTTAAAATTATTTAGAAGTAAAAAATAAAATAAAGTTATGCAAATTAAATGAAGAATATATAAATATTATTTAATTAAAATTGAAAATTTTACTTTATAAATAATTATTTTTTTATCAATTTATTTAAGTTTCTTTTTAATTTTTTTCTCTTTCAAATAAAATTTATTTATATATTTTTAAATTCTTTTGCCCTACCAATCTTGGAGTGACTATTGTATCGTCTGAAAAATAGGTCTGCTGTTAGGGTTCTAATTCTTACACCAACAATGGAGTTGGTCATCCAGTAAGTGTCACTTCAAGTTATTTTACGTGCGAACCTGAGTTTGTTATTTAAATGTTTGTGTATGTGGATATTCTCTTCCAATTTACAACTGCATGGGTTATTTTTGAACTACAACTATATCCTCTCAAATTGAAGTTGTTGAAGAAAAGCATTTTGCAAAATTCAATTTACAACTTATTTGCAATATCAGATAAAAAAAATATCTTCATCTACATTAAACAAAAAAATACAATAAATAATTAAAAATAAATTATCGTTGACATATATACAATCACAACATTCATTATACTTATTTATAAGAATAAAAATAAATTATCGTAACATAAAATATACAATTGACCAAAAGATGAGAATCAAACAAACATTTCTCATTTTCAAATACTTTTTGTACAATCTATAAATTTTACGCTAATAAATACAAAATTCGTGCAACGCCTCGAGATGCAGACTAGTAATTATATAAAATGTAAAAAAATTATTTTAAAATTAAAATAAGCAAACAATAAAAACAATATTTTTAGAATAAAATGGTTTAAAATTAAATATGAAATTAACAAACTTTTTTAGCTCCTGCTTGTTTTCCATTATTTTCTCATTAAAATGAAAAAATATGACATTATTTATCACATCAAGCCACTAAATTTGAATTTATATCTCTTGTGTGGAGCCCATAACGACTATATTTTTCATTTTGATTTTTACAAAAATGAGAAACAAACGCCCCCTTAATGTACTTGTGCATGTTACCAAAAAAAAAATGAAAAATTGCAATCGCAGTTTCAAACCTGTGCGTTCTTTGCATACTTTACTTTAACCTTTAGTTTGTGCCTACACAGGTCCCAAACCTTTGAATAACTAGCATCTAGAGTCCAAAATGACGAAAAAACGTTAGTTCCACCGTCAATTGACCTCAAAAATGGAAAAAAGACAAAATTTGACCAATATAAACGGAGTATTTTCGTCAATTACATATTAATAATTAAAATAAATTAATTAAGACCCAAAAGAAAAAAATGAAACCTGCCCTCAGCCATTCATCTTCTTCATTCCCGACCTCACTCACCCAAGCACCTTCCCCTCCCTCAAAATCAAATCAATAAGAAACCCACTAGACCAAGCCACCATCACCACATTTTTCCCTATTTTTTCTTTTTTCCACCATCTCCCCACCAGCCATCAAATTTGGTTCTGATTAGTAGATTGTATAGTTTTTTGGGAGCCATTTTGCAATGCGATTTTGGCTCCTTCTTTCAAACGGGCTTGTCGACATAGTGGTTTAAAGGAAAGAGCTAAAGTTCAAGAAGATTTGTTACATTAAAACAAATTGTTAATTGCAGATGTATTGAGAAATTTTTTGATTGAGATTTTGATTTTGATTTTTGATTGGGATTTTTGGTGAGGAGTTTGGATTTGGGATTTTGATTATGGATCTGCGTAGAATTGAATTGTATCGTCGTTGATAGAGGAGTTTTCGCTAGAGGGGTTCTATGTCTTCTTGAAGTTCTGCAACTGAGGTAGAGATTTTATCATTTTTTGCATAAATAACATATATGAAATTAGGATCCAAAACTGATGCATTCTAAAGGCAAGGGCAGGCATGGTGCATTTCTTAATTCTATAACTTCAATTTTCTACTTGGATCTAAACGTTGTTCTCGAATTTTTTAGATTGAACTTTTGATTATACAAAATATGCTCGAAATATTTAACCTATTATTTTACTTATTTATCAACTCGATGGTTGGTCGGAAAAAAAGCAAGAATTGGGGAAGAAGGTGGTGATAATAGCTGGTGATGCAACCAAAAATTGCACCTGGTAGATCTCGAACTTGCTGCTTGAATACTGAGTTAGGGGACTGTTAAAGAACACGAACAGGGCCTTTCAGGACCTGAAACAAAGGCAACAAGGTGTGTCCTCGTTGCTTCCCGATGCTTAAGTTAGACAAGGAATTTGTATGAGAATATATGTCGAAATTGTATGTAAAACATATCTGAATAATAAACCTGGATCTTCTATTTATAGATATTGGTGGTAGAGTTGTAAAAAAATTCAACCACCAACATCCTTATCCTTATTATATAGAGTGATTGAGCTATACTGAGCTATACTACAACTACAACTTGAAGTTTAACTTGGACTGCAATAGGTTAGATATTTTGATAAGGATGAATGTAGAGCATTTGAGTTAAAGAAGGACTAAAATATGTAAAAGGTAAGAGATAAAGGCATGAAATGAAACATTTTGATTATGTGGGCTTGACCATATTTTATGGGGGTTTGGGGGAAGATGTATACTCAAGGTAAACACCTTGGGATGTGCATGAAGGCTCAAGATCAGGCTACAACTTTTTGTGCACTTCATTTGCCCCCAGTGCATCCATGTCAGTAGGTCATGTTCAATGTGGGAGTTTCTAGCATGAGATGTATAAATATATTGGGTTCAAGAATGCGAATGCTAATGTTGAGTTGATAGGCCCCCGAGCACATAAATCTAGGATAGCAAGTTTTGACTATTTTAAAAATTTGAAAGGAATGAGCTCGATCTAGAGATTTGTTAAAAATTTTGAAAGGAAGGACTAGATCCCTACCTTGTGTAAAATTTGAAAAGAATGAGCTCAACCTTGAGCTTTGTTAAAAAAAAATTAAAGTGAGGGCTGAACCCCTACTTTGTTTTAAATGTGAAAAGGAGCTCGAGCTCGAGCTTTTTTAGAAATTTTGAAATGAAAGAGCTTGACGAATATGTAAAGATTTATATAAAAGACTAAGCTCGATCCTATTCTGAATATAATTATCCCCAACTTTTTGGCTAGAAATTTGACAATGTATTGAGCTCGAGGATGGGGCCCTAGCTTATTTGAAAATATTTGTCTCGAGCTCCATGTTTGGAATTTAAGAAAGACTTATGCCCAATAAACTCGAGATGTAAAATGTGGTCAGGTTTTTTACTTTTTTAGATGTATGCATAGGGTGACATTTAGGTGCTTGCATAGTGCAAGACTTACGTTCTTGCTTGAGGTAAGGCTTAGAGTGCTAATTTGATGGACTAGCTACATGGGCGGGGCATGGCCTTACGCTTGGTTGGTGTACTAGCTACATGCCCGAAGTGCGTCCTTACGCTAAAGTATTAGCTGCATGCGTGGGGCACGACCTTACGCTAATGTTAAAGTATTGGCTGCATGCGCAGAGCACGACCTTATGCTGAAGTATTAGTTGCATGCACGAGGCACAACCTTACATAATGTTAAAGTATTGGCTACATGCACGGAGCACGACCTTTCGTCAAATTATTAGTTGCATGCGCAGGGCATGGCCTTATGCTAATGTTAAAGTATTGGCTACATGCGTAAAACATGACCTTATGCCAAAGTATTAGCTACATGCGCAAGGCAAAACCTTACGCTAATGTATGAGCTGCATGCGTAGAGCACGACTTTACGCTAATGTTAAAGTATTGGCTGCATGCGCAGAGCACCACCTTACATCGAAGTATTAGCTGCATACACGAGGCACGACTTTATGCTAATGTTAAAGTATTGGCTATCTGCGCAGAGCACGACCTTATGCTGAAGTATAAGTTGTATACGAGGGGTACGATCTTACGCTAAAGTTAAAGTATTGGCCGCATGCGCGGAGCACGACTTTATGCCGAAGAATTAGCTGCAAGTATTAGCTACATGCACGACGCACGACCTTACACCAATGTATTAGCTACATGCGTGAGCCTGACCTTATGCTAATAGTAATAACAAAAATTTCTCAAGCTAGGGCTCGATTTCAATCATAAGACAGCCACGAGCTAGGCTTGCCTTCAATAATAAGAAAATCATGAGCTAAGGCTCGCCTTCGATGACAAGAAAGGCTCGCTTTTGATAACAAGAAAACCACGAGCTAAGGCTCGCCTTCGATAACAAGAAAACCACGAGCTAAGGCTCACCTTTAAAGACAAGAAAACCACGAGCTAAGGCTCGCCTTCAATAATAAGAAAATCAGGAGCTAAGGCTCGCATTCAATAATAAGAAAATCACGAGCTAAGGCTCACCTTTGATGATGATAAAATCATGAGCGAGCCCTAAGATATGAAGACTTATGAGTCCACTCGGCCTTTTGATTTTACTAATATTGGTTGCACAATCGATCAACTACTTCGTGTGTAAAAATAAGCATTATTGTAATTCGTAACCAAATAATCATACCATAAGCACGAGCATTGATGACACAAGAATATGTGCTTTTTAAATATTAAAACATGAATTAATTAATGTATGTTTGTTTGGTGTCTTTAAGATGAAGGCATGCATTACCTCCAAATTACTATGATTGGAAATTTTCAAATAAGTCTTCAATATCAATAAAATGTCAAATTTCTATGCCATGACACTTATTTATGATGAAATAGTACATGGAGTACTTTAGAAAAATACCAGCTATGGGATAATGGATTTTGAGTAGGGACATGCACGATGCAACAAACAGAAACGGGATGCCAAACAAATCTCCTAAATATCCAATAGGATTGGTAACAAGCCAGTACTCCCGATGAGCCCAAATAACTTAAATAATTAAAAGAAACATGGGGTCAAGAAAAAATAAGCTTCTCAGCCCAGTTCAATTGAAATTTGACAACATAATGTCTATGTATCGAAGTATATTTGTGTAAGATCATTTATGCTACCACTTTTGTAAGTTATTTTATCTTTTCTTCTATTTTACAGTTCAGCATCCAACATACAGAAGAAAAACTCATGCAATATGAGTCAAAGTAATTGCTACAAAGGACAGACCTAGCATAGTTCAACAGGGGCAAGACACAATTACATAAAAAATAATTTCAAATTAGGCAAAAAGATAATGTTCAAAGCGTAATAATTTTTTTATTTTATTTTACAATCATTCCTTACGGTAAGGCAGTAAATTTGAGTGAGTTGGACGGTTGTAATGAAATTTTACGTAAGTGGTAGAGGTGGAATTGTATAGGTTGGAAGTATATGTGTAAGTACGTATTGCATGCAGAGGTTTGCAAAGGTGGGACATTTAGCTAAAGTGGGAAAGGAACCTGCCAAAAGCTGGGCAAATGACAGGGAAAAGTATGGCAGTTTGACTAAGTGCAAAACAATTCAAAACAGAGAGATAAACAAGGTAAGAATAATTACCTAAAAAAAGTAAAGAACTCTACGAAGGATAAAGGAATATTCAAGGGAGCTCAAGCTGGCCATTCATGAAGCTGTAAATTTCTCTTCTTAAACTAGGATTTGAGATAATTAACCCAGTGGAGCCTGCAACTTTTCCCAATTCGGAGGCCAAAAAATGTTGATATTATCCAATTGTTGCCGACGAGGGCTCTTAAGAGCTACCTCTATTTCTTTCACATTTTTACGTTTTTGCAGAACTTGTTGTCAAGTCCTTTAGTTGTTCACTAAATGCACCTTTTTTTTTTTATTCTTCACAAGGCAAAGATGGACCATGGCTGTCTGTATTAGTGTTGTCGGAGGTTTGCGAAATCGATAGTTTCACTTTGCAAAAGGTTACCTTGGACTCTTACCTTAGCTATCTCAATGGTGGTTACTAGTTAGATTTTGGCCTAAAAACTTCATCAAACAGATGGTGAGCCCAATTTCAACCTCCCTTACCCTTTTCAATTTGATTCAGCTCATCTTTAATTGGAGGAAAATACCCGAAATGAAGTTTCACGACCAAAATAGAATTCATTCTTTGTTATTGTATCAAAATTTGAAACAGTTCACTTGTTAAGATCGAAGCAGATCACACCAGAACCCTTTCAATGGATTATCACAGATTGCCAGAATTCTACTTATGGTAGCCTAGTTTTATGCAGCTTTTCATAGAGCTTGGGTGTATCCTGTGGATACCTAGGGTATCAGGGACACTGAAAGGTGTATATGCCGCATTGATATAGGATATTCTAAAAGCTACGGCTTGGGTCGGACTTTGCTTCCCATTTATGCAATCCATTCGACACCCCCAATCTCTGACCAGCTCTAGATCTTGAAAACTCATCTCTAATTTAATAATTTCTCAAACACAAAATCCCAAACTATTCTTGCTATAATGAAAGCAAAATTTTGGACTTTTTTTCAATTTGGGAGAACAAAACAAACTTTAATAAAAGAAGGGTTTGAGAAATTCTGGAAGGGAAATTGGGATTCTTGTTGTAGTTAAGAAGCATATGATTGTTGTTGGTGGGGAGGGAAACTTAACGGAAATTAAGAAAAAAATTGAGGCGTGAAAGTAACACGGGAATTGAAACGAAATTGAGGGCGACGAGAATTTTGTGTTTGTTTTTCTTTTCAAGTGTCACTTCTCTGAATTTTGAGATTATCTTCAAAGCTTTTGACAATCTTCTTCCTTTCTCTCAGGAATATTTTGGTAGGCTTTTCTCATGTGTTTCCCTTGTGGGTAACTGTAATCGATTCCCATAGATGGAACCAATGATGCTATAAAAAATTGTACTTGATGGATCTCGAACTTGCTACTTAAATATTGAGCTAGGGGACTGAGAAAGAACACGAATAGAGCATTTCAAAACCTAAAACAAAGACAACGAGGTGTGTTCTCGACGCTCCCAATGCTTAAGTCAGACAGGGAATTTGTATAAGAATATATGTTGAAATTGTATGTAAAACGTATCTGAATAATGAACTTGGGTCCTGTATTTATAGATGTTGGTGGTAAAGTGTAAAATAATTCAACCACCAACATCCTTATTCGTATTATATAAAGTGATTGAATTATACTATAATTACCTCTTAAAGTTTAACTTGGACTGCAATAGGTTAGATATTTTCATAAGGATGAATGTAGAGTATTTCAGTTAAAGAAGGACTTAAATATGTAAAAGGTTCGAGATAAATGCGTGAAGGGCAATATTTTGATTGTGGACCCGACTTTAGGGAACAAGCTCGACCATATTTTATGGGAGTTTTGGGGAAGATGTATGCTCGAGGTAAATACCTTAACTTGTGCATGAAGGCTCGAGACCGGGCTACAACTTTTTGTGCACATTAGCTAAGTTTTCCGGTTGATTTGATTTTGGGGAGCGGGTGGGTGCTTGGATAGGGTCGGCGAAAGAAGATGAAGGTATGGAGGGTAGGTTTCCTTTTTTTTTTTTGAGGTTTTAATTAATTTATTTTTAATTATTAATATGTGATTGACAAAAATGCCCCTATTTGAATTGGTCAAAATTTGTCTTTTTTTTTTGGGCCCATTTTTGAGGTCAAATGACGGCAAAACTAATGTTTTCCGTCATTTTGGACTCCAACTGCTAATTGTTCGAACGTTTGAGACATGTGATGGCACAAATTGAAGGTTGAGATAAAATCTGCAAAAAAAGGCAAAGGTTAGGGACACGATTGCAATTTTTCCAATTCTAACCCGACTCATCACTATAGTAGGCAGGGATGTTAATGGGCTAAGCAGCCCAAATTAAGCTTTTGGGTGATTCTAGCATGAGTAAACTATCTCGAAGGATATGTAGCTCACCTCACGCCACTTTTGTGTTTTTAAATTCAATTCAATTTTTTTGGAGGTTCGCATAGAAGACGAGAATTTGTAAATGATTAACTTGAAAATTTTAATTTTATCAGCTTGTTTAACAAAATAAATTTAAAGATGTAAAAACTCTCATTCAGTTTTGCAAACCAAAAAAATTGTTTTAGCCCCTATTTATGTATAGATTAAAATAAAATTTTAATTTAGTGCGAAGTCAACAATTAAATTTTAAGCATCCGTTTGGCCCTCATTATTTGGGTTTATAATGGGGGAATAATGTTTTTTTGAAAAATTGATGGTTGTAAAAGAATGAAAAGTTTTCGATTTGTGTGTAATATTATTTTATTGAAAATTTTGTGGTTGAAAATAGGAGAGAGAGAAATTTAAATTAAATTGAAGAGTTTTAAGGGGGCCAAACAATGGCTAGTACTCAAGTCAAATCATCTATGAATAGAGAACACACTATGACCCTTCTTAGACCAAAGAATGTTAAATTTGAAGAAGTATGGGAAAAATTTGTCGATGATATGCTTTTCGTTGACTTTCGTATAAGTATATTTGCATATGAAGCTTCAACTTTTATAATTATTGTTGTTTTATAGCTTTTTGGTTTTCTTAATAGGAAAAAGTTCTAAGTTTAGCAACATGAGAACATCTTAGAAGTTTGACCACACTATGGGTTGAAAGGGTTATCCACACATTGCTCATGAAATGATAAAATTACAAACATATCTAATCTTATTATTTGAATTTTCCCATTCTAGTATATGTAATTACTATATTTTTATTGCAGAGAAAAAGAATCCAAATATAAAATGAGGGGGAATAGTGCTATTTTGAAAAATGGATGGTTTAAAAGAATGATTTTTTTTTATTTGTATGTAATATTATTTCACTGAAATTTGTGTGCTGAAAATAGGAGAGAGAAAAATTCAAATTAAATTGAAAAGTTTTAAAGGGGACTTAATTAGATATTTCATGTAATCTCCAACTTACAATCATACATTTCATCAACTTTATTAAAATTTATTAAACCCTTGTTTGAGTCCCATCATTTGTCACAAAATGTATTTTTAAATAATGTATTGATGTAAAATGTGTGGTTAAAAATAAGAATTTTTTTTTGAATTTGAGTGTAATATTATTTTATTTAAGAATGTGTGGTTGAAATGATTGTTTAAAAATGCATTTTTTTTTATTTTTTTTTGTTTTTACAAAGAATTGAGCTCAAACAAGGGCTAAAAGTGGAAATTACACCAAGTCCATGTTTGGCCCCCATTTTTTGGAAATGAGAATGTGTCAAATGGTGTTTTTTTTTAAAAATGAATGGTTTAAAATGAAGTAATAATTTTTGATTTACGTGTAATATTATTTTATAAAAAATTGTGTGGTTAAAAATGAAAGTGGGAAAAATAAAATATAATAGAATGTAATTTAATGGAGGCAAACGAGGCTTGGGCTCGCCAAGTTGGCCAATCCGACCCATTTCCGAACATCGCAAAATTGGGTCAACGCCGCCTGTTACTACTTCAACCTCTTGCCTCTTGATTGGGTAGCGTTTAAGCTCACTGGATTAGAGCTCTCACAGGTCGGCGACCAATTCTCATACGAGCTCCGGCGGATAAACAATTTGATGGCGTACAATCCCTCAAACGGTGAACTCTGACATCTTGCAAATCAAATTCTTGTGCGTCGTTCTGGTCTCATAATTAATTACACTTATAAATGGAAACAGAAACGATTCTCGAGCAACTGAAGCATGGATTCGCCGACTTCCAAATAGCATCTTCTCCGGTTCTTTCAGTTTCTAGTCACTGCTCTCAGAATGCACCTCCCGCCGCGTTTCTCACTAGCATCACCCATAAATTCTTTGCCAGAATTGGACCTTCACTGTAACTGCTTTTTCATATTATATTTTGTTTAGTTTTTGGTTGTTTACATATCTCTATAACTTGTTCTTTTAGTTGGATTCCTAAATGGGTGTAAATTTATGATTCAAACGTCTATTTTGCTCAAAGAGGTCAAGGTTCGCCGGCGATGAAGAAATTGGAGCGTTATTCAGTTCAGAAAATTACTGGCGATGGACGCTGCCTGTTTCGTGCTCTGGTAAGTCATATCTGTCTCTTTTAAGACTTTTATTCCGAGCTGAAACATCAATTTGTATAATTTATTGGGGTTGCGCAATTCAAACGTAAAGAAGTATTCGTGCTGCATTATTATTCGGAAATCATACTGGTCAAGTTTTGATTGCTATCACAGCGAGTGATTTCTGAATTCATGTTGTAGTCCTTTGAGCATGGAACTAGCAAGGAATGATTTTGAGCCCCAACGACAAAGGAACGTGCTGGGCATTTTCGGGGAGTAGCCCACTTCCCATTACTCAATAGGGCAATTCGTTAACTGCCCTTGCTGAAAATGCAACCCTTTTAATCCATGCATTTTTATATCATCCACATTTTAATAAGCATTGAACAAAATTATATTTTTTGTTCTGAAGATTTAAAAATCCATTATGATGCATCAGGTTAAAGGAATGGCTCAAAACAAAGGTGTAATGCTCAATCCACGAGAAGAGAGAGAGAATGCAGGTTCGACTAGTGTGATCCCAAGTGTTTTTGCCTCTAAATCTTTTCCCGCTTTTCACCTCAGTGCCAAACTATGTTTAACAACGGCTAAGCTGGCAACTTGTATCCCCTCCAAATGTATGCAGAGGCATAATGTTTTTGTTCTGCATTTTTTCTTGAGAAACACTTTTGTATCCTCCTTATTTGTTGCACTGATAGTTGAGATAGATCTGAAGAAATATATTCCTTCTAGATGTTCACCCCATATGTGTGATGATTTTTATTAATGAATACAATTCGCAATTTATGTTTGATTTTGTATTTCTTTCAGTTATCTATGCTCTTTGGAAAATATCTATGATTTCAGTTGAACTTACTATAAATTTATGACACAGATGAATTACGGATGGCTGTGAAAGAGGTTATTTGTGATAATGATAAAGAGCGTCTTAAGTATGAAGAGGCATTGATTGCTATAACTGTCGAGGAATCTTTGAAACGGTGTGGCCTTGAATTCGACAATGCTTATGAAGTATCTTTTTTGGTTTCAGCTGTTCAAGTATTATAATGGTTGAAGTCCACTCATTTTTTGAAGTGTCTCTGTAGTTACTGCCAACGTATTGGACGGCCTGATTTCTGGGGTGGAGAGTCGGAGCTACTGGTTAGTATAAATTGTAATGCTTTCGTTGGGATGCGTACAAAATGTAACAGACCTTTTGATCTTTTACCTTCTTTCTGTTGAAGATATATAAAGATTATTCTTTGTGATATTTCCCGGATAGGGTGGGATTATTTTCCTTAATAATGATTGTGTGATTAAGACACAAATTTTCCTTTTTAGAGCTAGATGTAACCTACAATGTCTTTACTTTGTAATAGTTGGACAAGACATTATATACAATTTATAATTTTCTACACTTGCTTCACCTTCTAGTGGCTTGGGGACGCTACTTGTTTATTCATTTCTTGTTGTTAAGAGAATGGAAGTCCCAGCAATAATGAAGAGCAACAGATTTTGAGGGAAAGCTGATGATGGCAAGGCTTTTGTGGTACAGGAGATAAAAGTATAATATGAGAAAAAGCAACTTCAAAGGAGAAAGAAGAATACATTTTATTAGCAAGCACAAGTGCAACTCAAGGTCCAAGCGCGTTAACATTTCTGCTGCTCTGTTTATGCTTCTTCAACAAATTGGCTTTACAAAGGTTCAATGTCCCGACTGCTATTTTCTGAATCAGATTCTTTCAGCTGATGTTCAAAGCATTTGACTTGCCAAATTGTCAAGAACCACAAAATCGTAGTTTTTATTGAAATTTAGCCTTGAGTACATGACTGCATAACTTGCTTCAGAACTAGGACAGAAGGATGGCCAGGCTTTATATGCCATGTTTGACTTGGGGTAACAGGAAACAGAGACGTTCCACTGCAAGAACTAGGACTAACAGAAAAAAATATTATGACTCTGCAATGTACTAAAATTTTTGAAAGGCTGTGGGGCTTTTCGAGAAGAGGGTTACTCCAGTTGATAACGTCCTTGCCTAAACCTCCCAGCAGCAACATCATTCCTATAGCATTTCCTTCACAAAACAAGAACTAGAGTGAACTTCAGCATACACTATTGTCTGAAGTAAGTTGTCAGATTGTGAGCGAATTCTTAGAGATTTCAGGTACATGAGGTACATTTTTATATAGCAAAGATTTGTATTTCAAAGAGGGAATTATTGATTTGCCAATGTGAGAGATAACTAGCTTGTCACCATTGCCAACTTCTAATTTTTTCATTACCATGGTCTTCTGTGACTTGGGTTGAGATTAGTAACATCATTTCTTACGTGGTTACTAGCTCCACTTTTGGTAAACCAAGCTGGATCGCTTAACGTGTCTGGAGTGCCCATGAGAACAGTGGTTAGGAGATTGATTCAAAGCTGTAGTTGCTGGACTGGAAATTTCCACCTCTGTTGTTATCGGTGTTAATCCCAGTATATGTATCATTATCTGTTGCGGCAAATATTTGCCGCGTGTCCAAACTTGCCACAAACTTGCCAAGTTGGTTTGTAACCGTAAGTGTAATTTCCATGGTTCCTTGAGTTTCCACATTTGATGTTGTTGCTCCTCATCTACCAGTGTTTCGTTTGTAGTATCTTTTCTGCTGCTAAGAGCAATTCTTGTTTCCATATTATCTGCCTGACCAGTTAGCTAGATTTGCCGTAGGTTGGGTGAGGTTAATACTTCCCAAGCTGTTTCTCGCAGCATTCAACTGCTCCATTCTGTTTTCAAATGTCATGTATGAGGATTGAAGCTCACTTTTGAGCGATTGAATCCCTTCCTGAGATTTGAAACACTGTGGGTGTACTCTTTGTTGAGTCCAGCCAGACTTGACTTATCAAATCTAAATGATTAACTGGCTTTCCAGCTAGAGCCAAGTTGTCTGCAATGCTTTTGAGCTTATTGAGTATTCATCTATTTTCATAATGCACTTTCTAGTCTTTTGCGACTCTCCTGTGAGAAAAACCACTCTAGATCTATTTTGAATCGCTTCTCTATTTACAGAATTCCACAGTTGGAGGTTGAGCACCCCACAAAAGTAGATGCAACTTTAGTTGTGATTGCACTGAACAATCACGCGAGAAGAAGCTGAGCCATTGATACCAGTGATTTCTGGATTAATTACAGTATTTACCTCTAGTCCTTCAGTGGTTATTTGGACTGAAATGTACTGTTGTGTACGTGGCTTTGTTGCCAATATATTCCTCTGATTATTGGCAGGATCGGGTTTTGCCACAGCATAAAATTGTCTGACTTAGGCTTGACTGCTGGAGACTTGTCAAGGTTCCACTGAATGGTGAAATTGGAGCTCCTCCTTTGTCAGCAGCGTCACAGTTGGAAGAGGGCATTCAGATCCAACTTCTGGGCTGGAAATTTGTGGTTCTCGGATTGTAGGGTTGTTGTTGGCCATTGAATCACTCTGATGCTCATTTAAATTTCTTAACACTCGAAATAGTTTCTACCTCATCTCAAACTTCGGTGAGGGAGATGCATATTACAAGATGGCACATGTTAATTGTAGTGGAATCATTCTGAGAATTAGGGACTTGAAATAATCCGATTCAAAAAATATCAGACTGACCCTGACTTTTGTAATGACAATTTGTTGAAGAAGCGTAAACAGGAAATGTTAATATGCCTTGACCTTAGGTTGCACTTGTACTTTAACTAATAAAAATGTTTATTTTCCCTTTGAAGCTGCCCTTCCCCATATTACACTTTTAACTCCTGTAGCATAAAATCCTTGCCATCATCAGCTTCCCCTCAACATCTGTTGATCTTCATTATTACTGGTACTTTCATTCTCTTAAATCGTTGATATCCTCTTTCCCTCGTATATCTAGTTGCTGGCCTCTCTTCATTATTTTTAAACTCTCATGAGGTGGAAATGAAAAGATTTAAGTTTCCACCATTTTGTTCCGTTGAAAGGGCGTCAAACGTAGCCTCATTATATTTGTTATATTTTGTGGATTAACTATGTAATAACAATGTTCATTGTCACTTGTTTTAACTCCAATTGCTGATTGATGAATAACATCTTCAATATTAGGTGCTATCGAAGTTGTGCTGCCAGCCAATAATTGTGTACATACCCCAACATGAGGTATTTTTCCTGCATAGACTATGCTCTTAGATTTATCGCTGGGAGTCAGTATACTGGTTAAGTTGCTATTGCTTGATAATATGCTCTGTCCACCACTGCGTTCCAAATTAAGAGGCTTCTTATATTTCTGATGTAGTAGGTAATATCAAGTAGTCTCTTAGAGTATAAACTTCATTTATGCATAACAAAGACTGAAGAGCAGATACGAGAGTTTCTACACGTCACTCACATTCAGTGAAACTCTTCGTGTTCGTAGAATATGTTAAAACCAAAAATGTGTGGAGACCTAAGTGATAAAAAGTGACTACTGGACTCTTTTTCTGTGTATTAGTTGAGTATAATACGGCCAGTGTTTCTCAAATATCTGCTCCTCTGAAATTGCAGCATGGCGGATGGGGATCCGGTTTTATTCCCATTGCTGAATATGGAGCCGAGTTTCGTAAAGGCACCAAGAATGTAAAGCAGCGGAACGTTGTGAGACTACTGTACAGCGGTACGAACCATTATGATCTGCTTGTCTGACTAAATGTTGTTAATTAGTTTAACTTCTCTCATTGTATTGAGCTTTTGATGTGTGTTCAAAAAGGAATTTAAAGCCAATATAGCGCAATTAGCTATGGACCATATGCGATGATCTTTTTCATCTCATATTTGTTGAACAATTTGTTATATTAGATGTAGTAATGCTATTCGTCACCAGTACTGTTAAGAATTCGTCTGTAGCATTGGGTCCACATAAACTTGTAATTAGCTCCATATCATTATTTTTAATGTTTGACTGATCCAAAGTGGGCTACTTATATGACGGGAGAGACGTCTACTGGGTATTCGTTGATCATTTCGTTTAAATTCTTTATTTCATACCAGAGTATGTGGGTAACATGAAACTTTGTAATATCACAAAGGAATATGTGTTTTGGGCAGGGTTGGGTTAGGTTGGCAATGAAGAAGAAAAACATTTTTTGAATTTTATTTACTTAATTTGATTTTAGTTATTATGGTTTTATTTATTTGATTAAACTAAATGATGACGGTCAAGTGGATGGACAAATTTGCCCTCTAAGGCACACGTCAGAGAAAATAAATGGACACTAACAGTGTGACTATTTCCACAATAAAAGATTCATATAGGGACCTAAATGCCAAGATTCATACGATAAGCCTGAAATTACAACATCGCCATAGGATGGGAGCCAATTAGTCAATATGCGTTGATGTGACTATAAAAACTAATCAATTTTGGTTTCTGGACCAATTCGGTTCTTTTTAAATATTAAAAAAAAATAAAAAATTGTAAACAAAATTATTATTTATAGTCGAATTTATTTGTGTAATTTTTGTATGGATTGGCACAACGGCTAATTTATTTGATAGATTTTGAAAAATAAAATTTAAATCGAAAATTGTTCTAATTTATGTAGGTTTTAGCGATTAGTTAAATTTTTTAATTAGAATCAGTCCCTATTTGACAATTATTATCAATTTTTTTTTTCCAACATATTCATTTTTAATCATACAATCACATAATTGGGGAATGCATTTATTTGTCATTTGTGGGACCATTGGTTTTGTAAAAGGAAAGTAAATGGGGAGTGGTATAATTTTCACAGCCTCTATGCAGCACCCAAGCACCTCTCCAAGTTTTACCTTTCAGCCTACCTCGACTCTTTAAAAGACTCTGGCTGGAGCATTTTCCCGGTGAAGGGAATTTTCCCAAAGGAGTGCCCCGTCACATCCTCCGAAGCCTCCAATGGTTATGGGCAGCGATTGTCACCTGCAGACGCTGAGAGGATTACCAAGTCTTGCAACTTGGCTCCAAGGGCACATCCAGAGGTGAAGGTCAATCTCAGCATCATTCTGATCCCTATCTTCAGTATAGACAACCAAAAATATTGTCAGACGATGAAGACGAGGATTTGAAAGCTGCAAGCTTGATCGACTCATCTCGAGAAATCAAAACAGAGGCAGGTGTAGTAGAAAAAGAAAACAAAGATAGCAACGAAGAAAAGGCATGATGGTTGTGCACATAGGCATCATATTTTTGTGGCCAGTGCCGGCCATGACTATAGGAGGGGTAGGCGATCGCTTAAGCCCCTTTTCGGTGAGAGCCCCAAAAAAATTATTATTTTTTATTTTACATGTATTTTTACGAATATATAAGGTCTCATATTTGAAATTGGTCTAAAGCCCCCAAAATCTCACGATGGGCCCTGTTGTGTGCTTCCAGTCTCCGGTCTTTATATTGTTATAAACAAGTATCATGATATGTTTTATACGTTATCACTTGCAACTTTCTTAGAGCCTGTTTGAGCTCAATTTTTGGTCAAAAATGTATTATGAAATAGTATTTTGATGAAAAATGAGGAAAAATTTTGAGTTTGTGTGTAATTGTTGGAATATGACGTATGTCTGTGCTTGGCCAATTGACAAATTTCACAATCAAAGGAATTAGAATTTTTATTGATGAATAGATCAGGAAACAAAAGCTCCAGATAATAAAAATTAGGGTGGCCTAACCTACGATGCCACATTATTACATCTTTATTAGAAGCAAAAGGAAAAATACTTGTAGAAGAAGAAACACTCTCAGCTATTGTAGCTTGTTTTTCGACATTTTCACCATTCTCAAAGTAGTAGAGGCCGCCATCCTCCTTAGCAGTGCCTACCATCTTCTCAAACATGGAATGATTACGATTCGGCATCATGCTTTAATACCGAATATTTCAACAGCAATATTATTTTATTGAAGAAAATGTGATTAAAAATAAAAAAAAAAAATGTTTTGAAAATAATGAAAACCAAACGACGGTTTATTATCAACCTAGCTAGAAAATTGAATTCATGCTTTTAGGCTGGAACTTGAGACCCACAAATTAAACTTGTCAACATACATCCGCTTAACTGTATATAGCCCAGACGAACAGAGAAATAATAATTACTTCCCTGTAAAGCTCGGAAAATAATATTTTTCCAACACCAGATCATCCTTTGCCGTAATTGAAGTAAATGTAATAAATCAATTGTCGGTTCTATTTGTAATTGAATTCTTGAAAATGGGCTCATCAGATCGGTTGTTTAATAGGCAGAGAACTATTCATCAGATCCTTGGAGGAGGCCTTGGTAAGTCTGCACTTCTCTGATGCTTTTCACAAACACTTTCTGATAATTTATTTTGAATATTTGCAATTTAAAGTTCTGATTATTGTCTTCGATTGATTGGCAAAAGTTTATTGATGTCATAAGTTCACATTATGGGATTTAATATCTATGAATTTGAATATGTGCGTGTTGTGTTGAAGCAGTTGCAGATGTGATGCTATGGAGGCAAAAGAATTTAACAGTGGGAATATTAGTGGTAACTTTGGCTGCTTGGGTGGTTTTTGAGAGATCTGGTTATACTTTATTATCATTGACCTCGAGTGTTTCCTTACTCCTGTTTACCATTCTTTTTCTCTGGGCAAAATCGGCTGCTATTTTAAACAGGTGATGGCACTTTTTCAACAAATCTTCTAATCAATTCTGTTTTTTATGGATTTAGAATGTGTTGCCTACTTAGAAACTAGAATGGATGGGTGTATACTTGATTCAGTGTCACCCCTGATGGCAATCTAAACGAACTACGCAATACTCTCTTTGAAACAAGAAAATGGCTACCTTGGAACTGATGTTTATCATTTGATCTAACTCTTAAAGATTGGATTGGCTTCGTCTTCCCCGTCCTGGGGCAAATGCATGAATTACATTGCAATGTGAACATCAAATTCACGTTCAAACAGATAATTTTGTTGTTTATTGAAAACTATAAAAGGATAATAGGTCATGACATTTTTTGTAGTTTGGATTAGATAAGACCAAACAAGATATGATAACTGACAAATTTTGTCAGATGCATCTCTTTGTTGATACTATCTACGCCTGTTTAGTCCGACTTTCCGAAGAGGCCAGCATGTTTTCTGAGGGGGACAATATTGGACGGTTTTAAAGAAGAAAAGAAATAACAGTTCATTGTACCGTCTGGTACGTTCTAACGTGGGTGTACCAAAAATGCTGTTATTTCATCTTAGGCGAAATAATTTAATTTTTTTGAAACATTAATTCAAATGCATGCTCAGGTTACAACCACAATCAACTCTGGAGCCTGATATTGTGCGTTAATCCTGTTTCAACTATTCGTTTCATCTAAAAAGTAAAAACCAACTATGACATTAAACTAAATCCATAACATTTCTATTTGAATGAAACGGACTATGAAGACAAAGTATCAGCACTTAAAATTGTTGTTCTATTTGTTTAGTAATCCTTGAAATGATCTGAAACAGACCTGCTCCACCTCTACCACATTTGTATCTTTCGGAAGAAATAGTGAAAGAAGCAGCTACTTTCATCGGCAATCATATAAATGTTCTGCTCCATGTGTCTGAAGATATCGCGCTTGGTAGGGACTCAAGAATGTTCATTAAAGTAGCTCTTTGTCTATTGCTGATCTCTGTCATTGGGAGCGTCACTGATTTCCTTACATTGATCTACACTGGTAAGTTCCATTTTCTTGTAATTCCCACTTACGATTATGAAGGTGTCCCCTTCTGATCAGCCTCACCCAACTCACGTTTCCTCATCTTGCTTATCTCTGTCATTGGCAGGCCTTGTTATTGTTCTTTCAGTTCCAGTACTTTATGAAAGATACGAAGACCATATTGATAGATATGCTCTAAAAGGGTACAGGAACTTGCAGCTGTTATACGTGAGATTTGATGCACAATGTATCAGCAAGGTTAAAAAATGGATTTTGGAGAAGAAGAAATTAAGTTGATAATTTGTTTGCTTCAATTTACCCTTTCATTTTGTTTTGTTTGCTCGTACTTTTTTATTGGATCTCCCTTGAATTTCTTGTTTTTAGTAGGCACTGCACGGTGCTAGAGGTAGGTGAGAAAGAAGTTTGTATTTCAAGAAGTTCAGTCTTCCTGTATATCCAGGTTTTATTCAAAAGAGGAAAAGTATACGAGAAGATCATGAACAAGTAACGACTTTAGATGATTGGGAAAATATGTCGTTTGCCTTAAAGCTGAGTCGAGATTTTCGATAATGCTAACTAGGGATAGGTATTACACCATTTTCCAATTGCAAATTCAACAAAATAATCCACCAGCCATGACAAATTTTTTATATATCGATATTAGGAAATCAAATCCTTTTCTAAAACACAATTCATTTAGCATCTACAAACAACATCAAGAAAAACATGCAACATGTGATAATGGTCGAACACAACATAATTTTTTTTTTTTTTTTTTTTTTTAAACAAAACCCGCTAATGAGCCACGACAATATCAGCATGCTGCTAGGGGAAGAACAAAGTAGATTCACTAATCCTGGCCACTTCCGAAGCTATCACGTTTCTCATGCTGCCACCCAAAGCCCGGTGAACCATCATGGCTAGCCTCACCATAGTACGATCTGCCTCGTTGAAGCTGTGATAAGTGGGTTGGAGGCATAGGTGGCGGCGGCGGCGGTGGCGGTGGCGGTGGCGGAAGGGACATGGGTTGTGGGGCTATCATTACCTTGCCTTCCCTCGGGTCCACAAAATTTCCACCCTGCCCATGTTCCATCCCTTTACTGGCTGAAGGAGGGAGGTTTGAAGGTGAAACCCCCATACTCCGACCATATTCACCTTGACCTACCAGAGGAGGTTCAAAAGGCCCAGCAGGACCCAAATTCCAGGGCCGAGGATAATTTTCTGCGAAATTCATTGCTCCAGCAGGACCCTGCGGGAAACCTATCAATGGACCCTGTTCAGACCCAACCTCTGGTGTTGAATCTGGCCTAGGCATATCGTAGGGACCTCCATAGAATTGTTGCGTTCCAGTAGGTGCATAAGGAGCATAACCAAATTGAGGGGGAGCTGGAACAGGATTGATTGGCACTGCAAAATCAGAAGGTTGATGGCGGCTTCAAAGGAAAAGGATATTCAAATATAATTCCTTATTCTTTTTGGAAAAAACTGACCTGGGTTTGGCTGCAGTCCACCCAATGAGTCAAAAGCTTGCTGAGGAAACTGGTTCAGCGGGACAGGCCTCTCAAACATTTGGGCTTGGTTATTCTCAGGTTGTAGTTCTGATGGATGATTTAGGATCTGTCCAGGAAAAGGTGGCACTGGCATGACAGGCCTTGGAGATGGTTGGTCATGGACCTGGAAACTCGAACTAGAGGGAAAACCTGGCCTTAATGGTGCTTGAACTGTGGAATCTGAAGCTGAAGATTTTCGGACACTGGTAGCCTCGGACTCATTTCCTTCTATTTCCCTTATTGAATGAAGGTTAGCATGATTCTCATTAATATGCGACTTAAATTCAGTCTTATTTAGGAAGGTCTTGAGACAGTGAGGGGCAGCACAAACAAAAATTCCTTCCATCATTTTGATTGTCTGAATCTTTTGAATGCGTTCATCACAGCTGCATACCCAGAAGAAAATGGCAAGAAAGGTTCATTAACTTCATCATTCACCTCATTTTATTTTTTTCAATCCACAACAAACAACTAAAAACAAAAATATGGATATGAAACGATCAATTTCAAGAGATCCACATATACAAAATTGCCCCTATTTCAGTTTTTTCCCCCCTCTCCTTTTGTTGATTGTTAAATTAACAGAACCTCTGAAGAACCTCAGAAGGTGACCAGCAATAATGACAGGTCATTTCTTTTTTCAATAAATGCATACATATATTAATATAGCATTCAGGACAATACTCGTAGAATTTAGGTTAAGAGACAAAATCTTGCTCCCCACTAAATATTCCGGGGTTTGCTGTTTTCACTGTAACCTAATGTTCCATTAGACATTTCTTCCACCAATGATTAGGAGGCATGGGGTTAAGCTCCAGTTAGCAAATCAAATTTCAAATAAAGAATGCCATGAACTACAAGGTGGAAAAAGAAAAGTGGGATATGCCTTACAGGTAGCAGATAGAATCACTCCTAGCACAGTCCAAACAGAAAGCATGTTCACAAGGGCTCTGCAATAACATAAGCTTGTCAACACAAATCAAAAGGAACTTGAAGAAAAGGAAGTGTAAATACACATTAAAACATAAAACATATTGATGTCCTTGGATAGCTTCAACTAGCAAAAAAAAAAAAAAAAAAAAAAAAAAAAAATTCCAATACTGGAATCCCAAGAGGGAATGATTCATACTGGACAAAGAAAAATTTTCCCCAAAAATGTCTGGAAACAAATCCGAGGAACCTTCAGCAGTTACACATGCAAATGTGTAGGTGTTAGAAAGTGATCGAAGAGATGTGAAACAGAAAGAAGTATACAAATCTCCCACTTCTTTCTTCATTCAATTCATAAATCAGTTGTGTGCATGCACGCATAAATGTGAGTTCCCCCATGTATATAGGTGCAGTGCATCTGCTGGCAGCGGTGGAAACAGAAATTCAACCATCTTCTTTAAGAACAAACTTTTTATATTAACAACCTCTTCTGTCAGTTGAACTTATTAAATGGACTACGATACAGAGGAAAAACAATGTGCACAGGAAAGTCATACATACCAGACGCCCATAAATAGCAATAGGAAAGTCGCAACGGACACAAAAATGAACCCTGTCACCAAGCTGACGACGGGATCTGCGACCAACATTCTTGAGAAGAGCAGTCTCACTAGCTGAACCAAGGCTCTTAGCTACAGGAAGATCAGCTAGGACAAGGTGATCGGGACATGCAAAAAAAAAAAAATTTATGGTTTTTGAAAAAAAAAAAAAAAAAAAAAAAAAAAAAAAAAAAAAAAAAAAAAAAATTCCAATACTGGAATCCCAAGAGGGAATGATTCATACTGGACAAAGAAAAATTTTCCCCAAAAATGTCTGGAAACAAATCCGAGGAACCTTCAGCAGTTACACATGCAAATGTGTAGGTGTTAGAAAGTGATCGAAGAGATGTGAAACAGAAAGAAGTATACAAATCTCCCACTTCTTTCTTCATTCAATTCATAAATCAGTTGTGTGCATGCACGCATAAATGTGAGTTCCCCCATGTATATAGGTGCAGTGCATCTGCTGGCAGCGGTGGAAACAGAAATTCAACCATCTTCTTTAAGAACAAACTTTTTATATTAACAACCTCTTCTGTCAGTTGAACTTATTAAATGGACTACGATACAGAGGAAAAACAATGTGCACAGGAAAGTCATACATACCAGACGCCCATAAATAGCAATAGGAAAGTCGCAACGGACACAAAAATGAACCCTGTCACCAAGCTGACGACGGGATCTGCGACCAACATTCTTGAGAAGAGCAGTCTCACTAGCTGAACCAAGGCTCTTAGCTACAGGAAGATCAGCTAGGACAAGGTGATCGGGACATGCAACAGTCACAGTTTCTTCAGGCAAGGACTTTGTACCTGCAACACCTTCACTAGCTGGTTTGCTGAGCCGAATTTGCATTTTTTCCAGAAAGGTTTTCTATAGTTTGCTCCCTCGCCCTTCAATAATCAAGCTTCAAGTCTTAACTTCAAATAGCCAATGTTAAGGATTTCCTCTTTCTGCATAATGAGGAAGTATGAATATTTTTGAGTTTTAGATGTACAAAACATGACCTTAAATAAAGAGAAATGATATGCTCTGCCGTTTTTACCAACCATTTATATGGTAAGAACATCCCTCGTTATAGTAAGCATTGACTGCGTCAAATTCAGAACGTGCATTTATATAGTCAATTCTAACTATAAAAAGAGCAATAAAAAACAAGTTAAGATTCAACCAGCAACATATAGGCATCATAAAGCTATTTTTACAAGACAATTGAAGTTCAGTGTCAACTAACAACTGACACATTGCATAATCACATTAAACTCCGTACTTTTTTGTTCAGAAAGTACTCGAGATACGACAACATTGAAAACTGGAAACGCTAACTCGAAATATTAGACAAATGGTACGCAATCCGGTAAATGAATAAATAAAAGTAAAGGACAGCCCGTAAATGTGAACCTAGAAAAAATTAGTATCCAAAATTACATAACAAAGGTCCTCAACAAGTTCTCATTACATTCACTTGACAACAGAAAAACCATTTTGGTATTAGACAGGCAGCATACTCACCAAGCCCTCCAAACCAAGGAAAACATCAACAGAAAAAACTGCAAATTCATTTATTCTAAAGCAAATTGCACAACCCTATTAAAATGAGGAAAATGAACACCTCTACCAATTGTCTTCACACTGTAAAGAAATATGCTGGCAAACTATGTGTCTATTGTGAAATACATCATAGAGCAATTACAAGAAATTCAAGAACCAAAAGCTCAACAGAAAGCACAATATACATCCTGGCACAGAAAGTTAAGCATACGAATCCAAGCATTTTTTCCAACAATCACATAAAATCTCAATAAGTTGGGAAAACAATCCACATACAAACAAATTTGACACAGCCAATAACTAAATCCATCACTAAATTATACTCATTATCTTCTACTGAATCATTGCCCCTACTCAACCCACTATTTATCCTCAAGGGACAATCTATTAAAACTAGAAAATTCTAAATTTTTAGGGTATTATAAAGATCCAGGAATTCCATTTCCCTAACACGTATAAGGACTAACCCAAACCAGAAACTGCTTTAAACTTTTTTAGAAACTAAAAATTACGAGAAGAATTCGGGACTCCATGTTAATAAACTAGATGCTGAAAAATTCGAGGGTTCCGATTCTTGATACTTGTGGATGTAAATTAGAACTCATATTTCTTTAAGCATTTCAAGAATTGCTAAATTAAAGACCAAACTGAGAAGAAATTAAATTACCCGAACCAGGGGAGTTGAACGGAGAATCAAATTTTTTTCTTCTTCTTGTGAATTTTCGAGTACGCCGAATGCTTAAACAGCTAACAAGCAAGCATCGGGACGAGGGGAAACGAACGGTTATTGCAAACGAGTAGCTGTCTGTACATACTTAAGCAACTTTCTATTTTACATTTAAATTTGTAATTTTTTTAATTTTTAAAATAAAAAATTACGTAGAATCCATTTGACTCCCATTTTTTTCATTAAGAATTAATTTTAAAATTATAGATCGATGAATAATTAAAATATATATATATTAAAAATGAATAATATTGTTTCAACGATCTTAATGATTCCAAGGGCAATTTCTGTCTCATTTTTTAAACTAACAATGAAAATATGACAAGTGTAAATCTGTTTTAATCCTTGTCATTGAGCCTATTTGTATAGCAAAACTGTTTAAAAATAACGGAGGTCAAACAAAGTTTTTTGTGGAGAATATTTGGTTAAAAAATAAAAAAAATGTTTTAGTACCAAATAAATATATTAAATTTCCCAAATCACTCATCTTAGATTTTAGATTGAGTTCCTCGTTGAAAAATGCTGTCACAAATATTGTCATTTGAACTAAAAATTTATCAATAGGATCGTCGAAAATATTATTTTGTCTCAACGTAAAAGAAGCAAATCATTGTATTCTCCATCCAAATCAGTTACTGTATTAAACACTGGTTTAGATTCATCTTCTTTCGCCAAAAATAATGTTCCCTCATCGCTAGGTATTGAAAGGAATCATCGATGTTGTTGTTGGATCCGTCCTTTGTCTACTCGTCAACTGCTACGTGTTTACGATCATCAAACCATTTGATAGAAAATCATTATTTTGTCATTTCAACACTTCCATTTGTCGATGCAATTGTTTCATCTCTACAAGTTGTTCCAATGTCATCCCTCTAGACCCAATTATGCTAATTCAATTGAGTCACATAATTTTTGTCAACTTATTTCTACGAATTTTAGGTCGTAGCTGAGTTCTAATGCTAATTTACTAATTTTCGTCACCTTTTTGGATAAGGAATACGGTTGTTTCACTAATTATAAGAAGCATGAGATAGTTTTAACAGTAGTTTGGACACATTAGTTACTTATTTTAGCGACGTATTAACAAATATCAACATCTGAATACATAAATCATCCAATCACATTATAGTACCCAATCAATTATTAAAAACTACCTCGTCTTTAGTACATATGCCACAAAAAGCATCAAAATCTCAAGAGACTGTAGAAGACATAAGAACCCATAAACTATTAGAGAGTGTGCAGGCATATTTCGGTTGGTTAGTTAATTCAGATGGTTAGAGTAGTTGTCCAGTTGTGTAGTTAGTTGGTTGTACAACTCGTATATTTTGGCGCCAATATGTTGTAATATATATACTACCATGTACATACTTTTTATGTGACTTTGATGAATGAATAAACATCATCTCTTTCTTCTCCATTCTGAACCCAATATGGTATCAGAGTAGATTCCGCTCTGCGCAACTCCTCCTCGATTCTGCATGTAATTAGGGCTTAATTTCAGTCCTAAAATAGAATTGACGAAGGCTGAACATAAATCCACCAGTATGTCTACGAGTGACGAACCTTCAAACCCTTATTTTATCCACCATTCTGGCAGTCCAGGATTGGTGTTGGTATCGCAATTGCTCACGGGAGAAAACTACGCCTCTTGGAGTCGAGCAATGATAATTTCATTATCGGTGAAAAATAAACTTGGATTCATCGATGGAACCATAAAGAAGTCGGAAAATCCAGATGCGAAGTTGATCAATTCATGGATTAGGAACAACAATATGGTGATTTCATGGATTCTCAACTCTGTTTCCAAGGAGATCTCGGCCAGTGTGTTATATGCTTCTTCAGCATGTGAGATCTGGAACGATCTCAAGGAAAGGTTTCAGCAAAAGAACGGTCCACATATATTCCAGTTGAAGAGAGATCTGATGAATTTGGTCCAGGATCAAAGCAGTGTCAGCGTGTACTTCACCAAGCTTAAAACTATATGGGAGGAATTGAGTAACTATCGTCCTACATGTAGTTGTGGAAAGTGCACTTGCGGTGGAGTGAAGGAACTGAATAATCATTATCAAATGGAATACATAATGTCCTTCCTCATGGGATTGCATGATTCCTTCTCCCAAATCAGAGGGCAATTGCTACTCATGGATCCCCTACCTTCAATTAATAAGGTATTTGCCTTAATCTCTCAAGAGGAAAATCAAAGAAAAATAAGTACACACTTAAATGTTGAAAGTGATCTGAATGGAGAAGCTGCCTTTGCCTCAAAATCTGATAATGGTAAAATTGCAACTGGATCTAGCACATATAGCACATATAACAGTAAATCAAAATTTGGAAACACAGGAAATGTTAAAAAGAAAGATAAATCTTACTGTACACACTGCAAAATCCCTGGACATTCCATTGATGTATGCTACAAAATTCATGGATATCCTCCGAGTTATAAGCCAAGATATAAAGAAAATGTTCAAAATTCCTATGGCCACAATTCTGTCAAACGAGTATCTCCTGCCTTCACTGCAAAATGTGAGGATAAGCAGCCTGATGTTCAACAACATCATGACGTAGGGAATTTTGTTCAGAATCTGAACTCCACTCAGTACCAGCAATTGATGTCGATGTTATCTACTCATCTGGCATCCAGCTCAAAGACAACAACAGCTGATTACCAAGACAACAATGAAGTATCATATGCTGCAGGTATATGTTCTTCTATCTCATCTAATCCTGTATTTTCTTCTAAAGATATTTGGATAGTGGACTCAGGTGCCACTAAACATGTATGCTGTGTTGCTACGACTTTTATGAATATGAGAGTTATTAATGGTTCCAATGTCATCTTGCCTAATCATACACGAATTCCACTAAGATTATATGGGGATGTCAGATTGAACCCGAAACTGGTGCTGCATGATGTGTTGTTTGTACCACAATTCAAGTTCAACCTGTTATCAGTTAGTGCATTAACTCTTGGATCAAAACTCACACTAAACTTCTTTCATGATGGCTTCATTATTCAGGATGTCAAAACCAGGAAGATGATTGGCAGGGGTGATCGATTACAAGACTTATATGTGCTTGATGTAAATGTCCTAAATTCCATTTCTAATGCTTTTGTTAATAATGTGTCTGTGCATGTGTGGCAAAACAGACTTAGTCATCTTTCCTTTAAGAGACTAGATTGTTTGAAAGATCAATTGATGTATGATGTTTCAAAATTTAGTAGACATATGCCTTGTTACATTTGCCCTCTTCCAAAACAAAGAAGGTTGTCATTTGATGCACATAATAACCTTTCAAGTAATCCATTTGACATCATACACTGTGACATTTGGGGACCATATCAGGTTCCCTCATACTCAGGACATAGATATTTCTTAACCTTGGTAGATGATTGTTCAAGGTCCACTTGGTTGTACCTGATGAAACAAAAATCTGATGTTGCTACGGTAATTCCCAGATTTTTTAGAATGATCAACACTCAGTTCAATGTTACTATCAAGAAGTTCAAATCTGATAATGCAAATGAGCTGGCATTTACTGATTTTTTTGCTGAAAAAGGAGTAATGCACCAATTCAGTTGTGTGGAAAGACCACAACAAAACTCCGTGGTGGAGAGGAAACACTAGGATCTATTGAATGTGGCCAGATCATTGTACTTTCATCATGTGTTCCCATTAAATTTTGGTCTGATTGTGTGCTCACTGCTGCATTCTTGATTAATAGAACTCCATCTCCCATATTGAAGCAAAGGACACCTTATGAGATCCTGCATAACAAGCCTGCTGACTACTCGTCCCTAAGAGTATTTGGATGCTTGGCATTTGCATCCACATTGACTGCCCACAGGAACAAATTCCAGCCACGAGCTCGAGTATGTGTATTCTTGGGATATCCTCCTAGAGTAAAAGGATACAAATTATATGATGTGGAGACAAAATAGATTTTCTTATCACGGGATGTGGTGTTCTATGAAAGCATATTTTCCATACTGTTATATCAAATGATCAGCTTTTAGATCCATTCCCTAACCTAATACTTTTCATTCCTCAGCACAACTGCCATCAAGATTCAAACATTACCTCTACATAACACAATTCCATCCTTATATTAACTAATAATAATCAACACACTCCCTCAACATCAATACCTGAGCCTAACGCACGAAAATCTCAAAGAAGCTTCAAACCCCCTACGTATCTCAAAGACTATCACTGCAACTTACTTGCACAAAAACCAAATTCTACTAATCATCCACCTTATCATATTGATCACTTCATCTCCTATAAAAATCTATCTCCCCATCATAGACATTTTGTATTAAATATATCTTCCCAGGTTGAACCACAATACTTTCATCAAGCTGTCAAACATCATCAGTGGCGTGAGGCAATGAAGGAGGAATTGGAGGCCATGTAACGCAACCATACTTGGTTTGTAGTACCTTTACCCGCAGGCAAACACTCTATCGGTTGTAGGTGGATATTCAAAATTAAGCATAAATCAGATGGGTCTATTGAAAGACACAAAGCTCGCCTCGTAGCTAAAGGCTATACCCAACAGAAAGGGCTCGATTACTTTGATACTTTTTCCCCAGTGGCTAAGATTGTTACTGTCAAAGTAATGCTGGCTCTTGTAGCATATCATAACTGGCAATTGGTCCAACTAGACGTTAACAATGCATTTTTGAATGGTGACTTGTTTGAAGAGGTTTACATGGATATTCCTTTTGGATATGAGGTGCCAAAAACTGGAAAATAGGGGGAGAAACTGCTTTGCAGATTGCAAAAATCCATATATGGACTAAAGCAGGCTTAAAGGCAATGGAATTCAAAGTTCACACATGCTCTCACTTAGTATGGTTTCATACAGTCAAAGGCGGATTATTTTCTTTTTACAAAGGGGTCTGGCAATGCTTTTGTGGCCCTACTTGTGTATGTTGATGACATTGTCATCACTGGACCTAATGTTCAAATTATTGGCTCCTTGAAGTCTTGTCTACACTCACAATTCAAACTTAAAGATTTGGGTGATTTAAAGTACTTCTTGGGCATTGAAATAGCTCGTTCAAAATC